CTCTTTCTCTCTTTCCTCTTTGCAGCACAGAGTTTACAGTAAAAACACAGGAAGCTGAATGATTTCCTCTGAGGAAAGTACCTGAGGGAGAGGTGAAGGAGCAGAGTCATCATCAGGCCCTGTGAGCCATCCCTGCCCCTGCAGCGATGCTTTCAGGTGGCTGCTGCCTTGGAAAGAGACACCTTTGAGGTGCTTTTCACCAGGTCAGGCAGGAGGATTGGCTTTTTCCCTGTGGCAATCCCAGAAAAGGGAGTCCTGGATCTGTGCTTGGTGATTTGTGAATAACAGGAGATGTTTATCTGTGAGTCACGCTGCGCTTTGTGCACTAAAAACCTCTTTAAGCACGGTCACTCTGCCCACAGTGGCTGTGGGGACCTCTCTGGGCATCCAGGGAATGTGAGGATGGCCCTGGGGAAGGACAAAGAGGGCACTTAGGGAGGGACAGGCACATTTTTAGCTGCCATTCCAAACCTGTCCCTTCCCCACGAGAAGCCGAGCTGGGAAAGCCGAAGAGCAGCGCTAAGGAATGAGAGCTGGGCTCCCTCCATTGCAAGACCCCTTGGAAAAGCTCAGCCCAGACTTTCAGAATTTCAGAGGTCTTGGAAAGGGGACTTTTGCCCTAAAAAAACCCCAAACCCTTATCCTCGGTGTCAGCTGAAAGGGCACAAGTGAGTAACCCTGCAGATACCATCTCAGAGAGACCGTGAGCTCCCCACGCTCCACGAGTGACTAAAGCTGGATTTTTCAGCTGAGTGGGCCTAAATGTAGGAGTGGAAGGGATCCAGAGATGTTCTAGCTGGGTACAGCCCCAACCTCTTTATTTTGCAATAACTTCCCCTGTCCAGTAAGTCCTACCCCCTCCAGGAAACCTTCCTTTAGCTTACAGAGCTGTTGAAATGCCTGTGTGTGGTTACATTTTCCTGCTCTGGCCTCCACTCAGGATCTCATTTCCACTGCAAAATGCAACAGGCCTGATTCATTTTGCAGCAGGAACATGATTGATGCAAGCCCGGATGGAGACTCATTGTCAGCCCTGTGGAAATTCCTCACCAAGGCTGCAAGTCAAGCGAAAACCTCACTGTACAATCACCAGCTTGTGTTTCTACTCCTAAAGCTTTTGGGATGGAGCCAGGAACAGCTTGTGAGCAGGCGAGGGTGACCCAGAAAGCCAGAGCGGTTCTTGCATCATCTTTTATTCTGGTTTTGTCTTTTGTTTTGTTTTGTTTTGTTTTGTTTTGTTTTGTTTTGTTTTATTTTTTTTTTCTGAGAATTGTCTTTCCCTCTCACCTACACCAACTCCTTCACCTTTAGATTGAAAGCCTGATTAAGGTGTGTGTTTTTCCAGGGCCCTCTAAGAATAAAAAAATCATCTGTGTGGTTCTGAGCTTTGCTGGCAGTCTCCTGCTGACAAACCACACCTTGTTTATCAGGACCAACATATGTTGTACAAACACAGAGCTGCTGGAGCTCTGCAGGCTGGGATTTCTGTACCTGCTGGGGAAATCACCCAGGAAAAGGTGGAGGAACAAAGGGCATTTTTTCAATGAAAATGCTAAGGCAGTGCTCAACAGGGGCTCCAAAGCTGCTGGGAGGGTTCATGTCTCCATCCTTATTTTCATTTTACATTATTTTTTCCCACTTGCAATTAAATAAATTTGGTCAATTCCCTGTGTTTTTAACACTCTGTGAAGAATTCCACTCTGCCTTGAGCTCCTGATGGAGGGCAGAGAACCAGCAGCAACCAGCCAAGCACCATCTCAGCAATCCCAGCTCCATTCCAGGGCCCTGGGTCATCTTGTTCTCATCCCTGGAAACCAGAAATAAGAAGTGGCAAGGTACCTGTGAGACTGATGCCACCTCCTTGCCATTTCCTGGGATCAAGCTGCTGCTTGTTGATGACATCTAAACATTTCTGCTTTCCTTTCTGATCAAATTCTGGTAGAGAAGGTTCAGTGGGTCAAGCACAAAGAGTGCTGAGAAGAAGGAGAGGAAGAAGGAGAAGAAGAAGAGAAAAAAACCCCACAAATTAAAAAAGGAGCTGTCCCTTCAGAATTTAACAGCCCCCAGAATTAGCATGGCAGCTGCAAGAAGGTTTTTCAAGGCTACAGTTTTGGGTTCAGGTAGTGAAGACTGAGACCAAATGACTATCAGGGGCAGCCACTGGATCTCTGTGTACTCAATTTCTTGTTTTTCATGCTCTCTGACCCTCAGTTATGCTCAGCTGCTCTTAAAGCAAACCAAGCCAAACTTGTTATTTTGATTGAAGGGACATCCTTGGGCAAGAGAGATGGGAAATTTGTGGTTTTGGTCACAAATCACTGGGCTACTTATTCACTCCTGCAGGCTCAGGTGAGATTCCCTGACCTCCTGGTGACATTTAGCCCAGCAGAGGTGAGATCAGTTCCCTTGTCTGGAATTGCATCAGGATAGGAGGTGAGGGAGCTGTGCCCAGAGGTGATGCAGCAGATGTGGGTGCTCCAGCTGAGCTGACACCCAGGTATTACTGTGGCAGAGACAAGAATTTGCAGTATCTGTCATCTCCCACATCACCCTGGAGTGCTCTAATCACTGCACACTCGTGCCTGGAGTCACAAACAGCCACATCACTCAGCAGTCCGAGGCTCACAAAGTGCCAGGGGATTAAACAACATGAAAGCCACCATCAGCTTCAGCCTCACTCCAAATTCTGCATCCAGCTGACTTTTGCCCACCTGGCTTGAAGATTTCACCTCACCCAAACTTAAGTAAGAAATCCAAGCTTGAAATCTTACTCAGACTTGTAGTTGAGGTTAGGACAGTGACACTGGAAAAGGAGTTTTCCATCCATTTGTCTCAAAAATACCTCATGGATACAGTCCTAGCCCCATTAAACCCTTCTCATGCCCCCAGATATCCCCTTCAGTTCCTTTAAGGACCTTAAATCTGCCTGAGGGTATATTTTTTGAAGCCCTTCCTCTCCTGCCCCCTTGAGGCTCCCAAACTGCTTCATCACGTTCAGGACGAACACCAGCACTGAGGTTTGGCAGGTTCACGAACAGATTTCAAATCTGAGCGTGTTTTGTAACTCTTCTCACAAGTTACAAACAGGAAAGGGGGAAAAGCCAGTGAATTCCTCTTCCAGGAGCCCGTGATGGAGCTGCTGGTCCCAAATCAAGCTTGTGTCAGCTCTGAAGGGTGTTTTGGCAGGTCTGACTCCAAGGATTTGCCAGCTTCCCTCTCACAGTGGGGATCACAGAGAATACCAAGCAGGGCATCTGTCAGTGAGCAATTACAGGAAATATCATCGTCCTTTTGTGCAGGGTGGCTGAGTCTTGTCTGGGGCCAGGCACAAACCTAAGCCTGTCTCCAGTAGCTCTTTGCAGCTGCCAAGGTAAATGACACCCGAGGCAGAGCCAGGCAGCTCTGGGATGTTGCTAGAAATGAGGAAATCATTCCATAAATGTCACTTCTTCCCCTGACTGTCTGCAAACAGACTGCAAGAGCTTTCCAGCGCCCAGAAACACGGATCCAGTGCCATTTCCTAATAGCTTGGAAAGCATCTGGAGAGCAGAGCGTATTTCTTTATTACTGGATTTGTTCTCCTTTATGCTGCCTATCATTTACTGTGATAAACACCAAGAAAGGGCAATTAATTAAAGGGAATTCATTTAATATAGTGCTGCCAGTGCTCTGGAGGGTCAAAGGAGATTTATGTCCCCCGTGCAACACAAACAATGTTCAGGAGTGTAACTTCAGCCCGGAGGAGGGCAAGAAACATTTACACAACAAAACCTATGCGCAATGCAACCTGGAAGTAGGGCAGAGAGACTGGATTAAAACAAGAGATCTTTTATTGTCTTGAACTGCAGAGTGTGATACAGAGGAACTACATGGATTTTTATTCATATTAAAAAAAAAAGAGCCCTTTATTTACACAAGTGTTCAAAGCTGCCCATGGTACCTAACAACAACTCTGGGTTCTCTTTGTTTTGCTTTGTTAGTTATTCCCACCTAGACGGAGCAAACATTGGTCAGTAACACTTAGAAAAACATGGAAGTAGCTTTTGGGGAGGAAAAAGAAAATAAAAATTCTGTTCGGAAAGAACCCAAATCCTCACGGGCATTTCACTGTAACAAACCCACCAGAATAATTACAACCAGTCACTGACAAAATGAACAGTTTTCAGTCTGGGCTCAGCACTCTAATTATTCTCAGTCTGTCTTTATTTTCCCCACCTAAGTAAATATATCCTGGACATGCACATACTCCACATGGATGAAAAAAAAAAAAGTAGAAATTTATTTAAAAGTAATTGTGCTTTTATTTATAAAAAAAAAATTTACAATCAGACACTGTCCTGCTGTGTTTCCAAAAGCATGGTTCTTTTAAAAATGACAAAATGTAGCTTATTATTATTATCATTATTATTATTATTACTTTGATTTTATATTAATAATATTAATCTTATGCTTAAATTTAAAAACAAACTGCTTTCCCTTCCCATTCCCTCCTTCTCTGTGGTACTTGATATATATATATATAAAAAAAGGCATTCAAACCACCAATTCTTTTCACTTATAACTAATAATAATAATAATAATGATAATTAATCTTACACATTTCTGTGTGTAAAATATGGCTGGTTCTAAAACAAACTACCAATGTACAAAGCTGTTCTCCCTCCCCTCCCCTGGGCCACCCAAGAGATCGTCAGACATCGGAAGAACTTTATCCCAGACGCTTTCTGGCAAAAAAAATTAAAAAAAAAAAAATTAAAAAAAAATAATAAAACAACACAGAACCCTTGAGATCGTTGTCTTTGGTGTGGAGGACGTTCCTGGCGGGCAGCTGGAGCTGCTCTGCTGGAAACTCTGGGATGCTTTAAGGCTTTTTTTTTTTTGTTTGGAATGCTGCAAAGCCTCTGTCGGGCCACGGGTCACCGATGCTTTGGTACCAGTCCCAGCTCCTCACACCCCCAGGCCAGCGATGCCAGAGGGTCTCCCCACACCCCCCTCTCCATCCCCTCTCCATCCCCTCCCCAGCCCCTGCCCGCAGCCCCCCGGGGCTCTACGCTCGCTTCCGCCGCCCCTCCAGGTTCCGGAAGCTGGAGGGTCTCAGCTTCATCTCTGCAAACTGGATGGAATACTCATGGCCCTTCCAGTGGAACCAGTTGACGCCCTGTGAAGGCAAAGGTGAGAGGTGGGAGGTCACACTTTCACTTGTTGGCCCTGCTTTGGACTGGGGATGTTTCTGATTTGGGCACCACGAAGTGGAGGAGCTTTGGGGAGCACAGGGGCTGTGCAATGCCCAACCTGTACAAACCCACCCACATGAGGCCACAGAATCCTGGAAACTCACAATGGATTGGGCTGGAAGAGCCTTTAAAGATCATCTTGTTCCACCCCTGGTGTGGGCAAGGACAGCTTCCAATATCCCAGGCTGCTCCAGACTGGCCTTGGACACTGCCAGGGATCCAGGGGCACCCTGTGCCAGGGCCTCCTCACCCTCCCAGGGAAGGATTTCTTCCCAGTATCTAATCTAAACCTGTTCTCTGTCAGTTTGAAGCCATTCCCCCTTGTCCTGTCCCTCCATCCCTTGTCAATTCTCTCTCTCCACCTTTCCTGCAGCCCCTTCAGGCTCTGCAAGGCCACGCTGAGCTCACCCCAAAGCTTCTCCAGGTGAACAATCCCAGCTCTGCCAGCCTTTCCTCCCAGCAGAGCTGCTCCATCCCTCTGATCCCCCTGGAGCCTCCTCTGGATCTCTCCAGCAGCTCCAGGTGCTCCCTGTGCTGGTCCCAGGGCTGGGGCAGCTCTGCAGGTGGGGTCTCACCTGGGCACAGGGACAGAGGGGCAGAATCCCCTCCCCTGCTGCCCAGGCTGGGCTCAGCCCAGGGCAGGGGGTTCAGGGCTGGGGCAGGTCCAGCTCTCACCCCCAGCACCCCCAGGTTCCTCTCCCAGGGCTGCTCCATCTTCTCATCCCAGCCTGGATTGATCCCAGGGCTTGTCCTAAACCAGGTGCAGCTCCTTGAGCTTGGTCTTGTTAAAGCTCTGTCCCTCAGAGCTGTCTCTCCTTGCCTGGCCTTCGTGGCAGGAAGAACATTTTTGTTTCACACGTTGAAAACAGCAATTATTCCCTACACACTTGGGATATTCCTTTGTAAAATCAGACAAAGCCAAAAAGATTTCAGCAGCTGATATTAAATTCTTGTTTTGTGAGTGACTGCCCGTACATTTCCCTATAGAGAGTGGGAGGAGGGGATGCTGTGTTTTTTTAGCTGGCGGAACCATCAGAAAAAACCCATAGCTGCAATTCCCCTTCCTCTCACAGAGAGAAGCCTTCAGACCCAAACTCACCTGACTGTGGCTGTTGTCACCATATCTGCCCATCAGGTTGACTCGGTGACAGTTCTTGTACCAGAAAGCTCCTTTGTATGACAGAGCACAGTTGGTGATGGCAGAATCATGGTCCTTGTCAAAGGTGGAGAAGGACCTCCCGTTGTGGTAGGTCATGGAGTCACCTGGATGGGGGGGACAAAAGAAAGAGCAAGCTCAGTGGTTTGCCTGGTTTACATTTCATGGGTGTGCCCATTCTCCAGAAAATATTTGGACTGTGCCATGACCTGTCTGCATCAAAATTTTAAAAAATTGTTTTAATACAGAAGGAAACGCACAATTTTTGTTATTGCAGGCAGGTAAAAATATTTTTTCAAGTGGTCTCTAATCCCCAATATATGAAGTGGGGTTTTTTCATGCAGCTCAATTTCTGCATTTCTTGCTAAAAGCTGCATTTTACAGTGTGGGCAAGCCAAGACCAAAGAGTTGCTCACAAGGAAGGAATTGAGACCAAAGGAGTCTCCACACTGACTGAATCCTACTCAAGGTAGCAGCTACTACTACTCTGCACCAGAGAATTTGCCTTAAACCACAGAATCATGGAAAGGTTGGGGGCTTGGAAGTGACCTTAAAGCTCATCCCATCCCACCCCTGCCATGGCAGGGACACCTCCCACCATCCCAGGCTGCTCCCAGCCCTGTCCAGCCTGGCCTTGGGCACTGCCAGGGATCCAGGGGCAGCCCCAGCTGCTCTGGGCACCCTGTGCCAGGGCCTGCCCACCCTGCCAGGGAACAATTCCTGCCCAATATCCCATCTAAATTAAATAGACATTAATTCCGCTGCTGCATTTCCTTTGTATCTCTGTAGCTTGTGTAAAAGCCCACACCCACACCTCTGCTCTGGTTTATGCACCCAGCAGTGTGAAATTATCTCCTTTTAAGACATGTTGTTAAACTGGATTTATCTCTTAATCCTTTGGAGACCTGAAGAGGACTCGCCAAGGGCTGCAGGGTTCGCCCCTGTATGATTACAAAAGGCAGATGATTTGTTCAGGAAAATTATAAATCACATTACAAAGCAGGGCTTTGCTGCAAATTCTACTGTCAAGAAAAGAAGCTGTGCCAGGCTATTATTGGCTGCATAAATGACAGCCGAGATTGGCTAAATTTGATATATTGTGGTTTAATACACTTGTTTCAATCCTGCCTCAAGCAGGCCATAAAATACACCACCAAAACACAAAACACATCGACACCTTTGATTTCCAAACGCCTCACACGGGAGAGGCACCTGCTGACCTGCAATATTCATGTTATGGCTGCAAACGTTATGGCTGCCTTGAGCTGGAGGAGGAGGAGGGGAGAAAATCGGTATTTTGAGGGAGGAAAAGGCAACTTTTGGTCTCACCTGCCGTGCCACTGTAGCCGTCCACCCGCAGGCGGTAGCGGCTCTTGGCATCGCCCACGCTGAAGCGGTCGTACACCGCGTAGGCCGCGTCCCCCTTGTCCCTCAGGTCCACCCGCAGCTCGTACTGGCCCTGAGAAGTGATTTTGTGCAGGTTCTCCAGACCTGTGGGTGGAAAGGGATGTTTTGTCTTGATGGAGAATTATTTTTTTTTGTCTTTTTTATTTCTTTTCTATATTCTCTGTGTTCTTTACGCGTCTGTTTGGAGCTCCGTGGCTTTTCCCAAGGCACAAAGCTGAAACACTTTCCTGTCGCTAGGGGACATGAAGTAGGAATGAGGGTTCAATACTACATCAGCAGAGGTTTCATTTCTAAGGAGGTAAAAGCCTTTATTTCAGGGTTTTCAACCCTTTTTATAAGGTGTTCCCATACAGGTTAACCTGATTGGTACAAGGAAAAACACCTCTCTCACCCCATGGGTGGAACAAGAGAAAAACATTCAGAACATCTGTGTCATTGTTTTGAGAACTAAAATCTTATTTACACAACAGTCCTTGAGAGAGAAAAGTTCCCAAAAAGTTCCCAAAAAGTTTCCCAAAAAAACACAGAAAAAAAAAGTTTCCCAGAAAAACACAGCTCAACCTTTGAAAATGTGGAGGTTTTACTTCTATTATATCAAAATGTGAGTTTATGACTTCTGCTTGTCCTGCTTTTCCTCTCTGGATCGTCAGCCTTTCCTGCTGGGGTGTCCCAGGAGGCAGAATCTGCTCCCCAGGCCAGCTCTGACTTCTCCCAGAGCCCCAGTGAGCATCGGGTGGGTGCATTTGGTGACCCCAGCATGGCCTGAACCGCAGCTGGAGGGACTGGCTGGGCCTGGCCATTCCAGCCTCCCTCCCAGAGAGTGTCCCCAGCTCCTTTTCTCCTGTTTTCCTTTACAAATACTCCTGCCAGCTAAATGGAGGCCTCTAAGTGGCTCCTGGGCTTTTGGGCTGTGTTTGTGTTTTGTTATTTTTATTTTTTTTTTCCAAAAATACAAATTCTTATCTATCTTACCTATCCAGAATTCATCCTTAGGATCTCCAAACCCTGCCACGTAAGTATTCCAGTTCTTGTAGAAATCTTGCTTTCCATTCTGACGCCTCAGGAACACCTAAAAGCAAGAAATATTATGGACAGACCGCCTTGGCCAGAGGGAAAAACACAGAGCTCAGCGTTGCTCCTGCCCTGCCTTCACCCCTCCCAGCAGAGAATCACTGCAAGGACTGAGCTGCACCCAGGCTGTTGGATGCTCCATGTGGCTTTTTCAAGTCTCCAATTTCTCTGTTGGGTTCCCAGGCTCCTCTGCATGATGTGGCCTCTCAGTTCCTGCTCTCTGTCCTTTTAAACCCATCCTGAAGTTCTGGATGTCTCATCCAAGGGTTTCTCCATCCTCTCATCTCCCAGCTAAGAGCATTCCTCCGGCTCCTCCTGCCTTTCTGTGCCCGGGGTCCCTTTGGCAGGCTCAAATTTGGGGATGTCAGTGTAGAGATGTGACATTTTACTGCTGTTCCCCTGTTGTCTGGGTGGGATGTGTCCTCTTGCACAGTGGTTCTGGAAGCCACTGCACCCCATGGCTGCTGAGCAAATGCTTCCCCTGGGCTGTGCTTTAACCTCCCTCCCTTTCTCATTCAGAGTCAGTTCACCCTCCCCTCTCCTTGCTGATTATTTAGAATATTTGTTAACCAATATGGTCATTTCAGCAGCTCTTACAGCAGCGGGGAGGGACCAGGGCTGAAACCACAAACTCATCCTTTGGAGACACCTCTCTCTCCTGCAGCTACAGAAGCAGCCCTGTTCTGGGCACTGGAGTGTCCTACCCAGGATAAAACTCCCCAAACCTATAGACAAGGCAGCCCTACTGTGATAGCAGCACTCTGGGGATGGCTGGGAGGAGCAGGGATGGGATGAGCTGTCCCCATACTCACGATCCATCCGCCCCCATCCTCGCCCATGTCACAGAACACTTGCAGAGGCTGAGCCTTGTCCCCGTTCAGGTAAATTGTGTAGAGCCCAGAGGTGGCTTCTCCATTCAGCAGGGCCTGGGAGCAGTCCTTGGGGTAGGGATAGAGGAGCCCAGCTGCACAGACAGGGAAGAGAAAGCGTTCCTTAGGAAATCAGCAGTTACAAGGAATGTGCCGAATGCAATGAGTCAGGAAAATCCCTGGAGGGTCAGCCACAGATCCCAGGAACAGGTTTGTAATTGCATCCTGCATACAGAACATCCACAGGATGCAGCTGATGAGGTGAATTCTTCTTTTGAAAGTGCTTTTTCACATCTGTCTAACCCTCCTGGAAATGCTGGGAATGTGAGATAATTACTCCCTGCTAGGATGGGAGTGCATCCTCCAGCTAAAGACTGAAATTCAGGAGCTCTGTTACAGCAACTTTGGGGAAAAACAAATCTACCAAACTCTGATCATGTGAAAAGGGAGGGGGAAAATACAAAGACAGGACTTCAATCAGAAATAAATTAATTGGGAGTGTTTTGCTGGCAAGGACAGTATTAAATGTGTTATAAAGCTACACTTCTAAAAAACAAAGCAAGCAGCAACAGTTGAAACTACAGGGAAATGTTGTTAAGCTTTTCTTTCTGGCAACAAGACAGTAAAATCATTGCAGTCAGAACAATTTCTAATCCCCCAAAAAAGCTTTGCTTTTTTTTCTTTTTATTCACTCAGGTCATTAACTTTTTCAGCCAATTAAGTGCTGTTCCAGGTAGTTTTTACCTGTAACTTCTCAGAGTGGCTGCTTGCCAGTGCTGCACATCCCTGCCTGTGCTTCAGCCTCAGAGAATTTCACAGAATCCTGGCATTGTTAAGGCTGGAAAAGACCTTTAAGATCAAGTCCAACCATTAACACAGTCCCACCATCATGCTCACCACCATGTCCCCAAGTGTCACCTCCACAGGTTTTTTGAGCCCTTCCAGGGATGGTGACTCCAGCTCTGCCTATTCCAATTCTTTACAGTTCTTTCCATGAATAAATTTTTCCTGATATTGAACCTAAATCTCCCCTGCCATCAGCTTTGGGATTTGGAGAAAAGTGGCAGGGGGCTCCTTCAGTGTTTCCCTGTCACTAAACAGACATAAATGTATTTTTAGAGTTAAAGCCAGCCTTAAGCCTCTGCCTGAATGAGTCTGACACTGTTCACATGGCTAGAGGCACCTGGACGGTCCCTGCTCATGGTCAATTTGCCAAACATCATTAAATACACCTAGATTTAATTAATCTCCTATTTCTGGGTGTGCTGGTGGAGCTCCTGCTGCCCTGTACAATCAGTGACAGGACAGCCTTGGGGCTGGGGGACTTCTGGCAGTCCTTGGGCTGGAGTTGGTGCCAGCAGCAGGAGGAGGAGTGGGAATGATTGAAGGTCCTGATGGGCCTGAAAGGCTGAAAACTGGGGAAAGTGAGACAAATGACAGGCAAAGTGTCACAGCTAATACTGAACAAATTCTTTTTTTTAAAGTCAGCTGTGTAGTGACCTTCAGAGAAGCCAATTTATCCTTGCAGAGCTGCCCTGTTGGGCTGGAGCTGATGTGCAGAGGGGCTTTGAGACAGCCCATCTCAGAGAGAGGAGAGAAACCTGCCCAGAAATCCATCTCCTCAGCCCCCAGCACTGATCCATGTGGGCCTTTGTGGTTCGCTTCATTTCAGCTCCAAACCCTGATTTGTTTTCCCAACTCATTTGGATCAATACAGGAGGAAATTAAGGTGCCAGCTGGATTTTAAAGAATTCCTGCTGATATTCCACATGGGGAAGGCAGGATGTTTCACCAGAGAAAGGCCTGCGAGGGTGACATGGATGGATACTGGAATTTCATCCTGCCAAGGGAGAACAGATCTGGGGATGGATTAAAATCTTGTGTGGGGTCCGTGTCCTCACAGCAGAGCTCAGCTCTGTCCCAGGAGCAGTAAATTGGATTATTTTAGCTGTGTTCTAATGTCCTTACTGGTGGTGAAGATGGTCTGGATCATTTTGCTCCTCAGGGCCCCACTCAGGGCCTGCAGTTTCACCGTGTACTGCGTGGAGGGGCTCAGCTCTGCCAGGCTGTAGGAACTTGTCCCACGGTCTAGGATGACTTCCTACAGAGAAAAGAAATAATACAGGGAAATCTCAGAGAAATAAATCATAATGACCAGAATGGTTACATATTTTAGTCTGTCACATTATTTTTTTTGTCATAATTATTGATGGTGTCTCTAACCATCTAGATTAATGAATATAAAGCTACTCTTCTAAGGTTTTTACCAAGCTAATCTTTCAAAGTTCAGTAAAGCCTGCCTGGAAATGAGTGTTTGCCATCATAATGTACAAGCTGGGGGGTTCAAAAGCAAGGCAGCATAAATGTTTACATGCCCTGAACATACAGATTGTGAAATTCATAAAAAACTGTGAAACTCGTCCTTTGGGAGAAGTAAATGTTACAGGCTTCAAAAGGCTGTTTTGCTGTAACATTGAAAGACTGATTTTCAATGTGCTTGGGGAATTTGCCTTCCTGAAAATCAGAACTTTTCCTGATGTGCCAGGGTGGGCATCCAAAATTTTAGTTTTGCTGGGATTCCCCATATTTGTATTTAAGCATTTAGTGCAATCTAATTATGTAGGAACAAAATAAAATTATAGGAGAATAAGAGGCACTTCCACAGGCAGTTCATTCTTCCTTAGCCCTTTGCACAGGGATTCCCCTGGGATTAGAAAAGGGAATCACTCCTTTGAGGGTGTGAGTTCATTCCATGATTGAGGTCTGGAATGAAGGAAAATGTTTGTAATTTAATTTATATTGTGGAGGGAGGAAAGGTAAACTTCAGGCTGCAATGGAGCTTCTGTTTCAGGGTATAATGTAAAAAGTCCCTTAACAGGTTTTAAAGGCATCTGTGCTCAGTCTAGCACTGAAAGAAGGGACCCTCATTTTCTGCAGAGATATTTAAAGAAAAAAATCAGGAGACAGAATACTGAGAAAAATATTGAGAGTATATCGAAGAAAAAAAATCAGGAGAGAATGTTTTTATGCTTAGAACAGTCTGGAACCTGAGACATGTGAAGTCCACATTAATGAAAGGGACAGTTAGTATTTTTAAATTGTTTAAATTAAATTGTTTAAATTGTTTAAATTGTTTAAATTGTTTAAATTGTTTAAATTGTTTAAATTGTTTAAATTGTTTAAATTAAGGCAGATTATACTGCATTGCTGGACACTTCAGAACATCTCCACTGCCCAGATTTGAGGCACAGCCCCTGATTTATTTACCTTGACGCTGCCATCGATGGATTCATAGATGAGGAGATAGCCAGTGACTGGAGCACGGGGAGGCCTCCAGTTTATCACAGCAGCTTCTGACTGCACCTCAGCAGCACTCAAATCCCTTGGAGCATCCAGCCCTGCAGGAGGCACCACAGCAATTGCCATCACATCCACACAAAGCTAATTCCACAGGTTGTCTTGTGGGCCATAGATTAAAACAAGCCAAGAAAACAAACCTTCTGGCTGGAGAAATTTGAAATAGCACTTCAACCTAAATTTTGTGGTTAAGAATCCGTTTTCCCATTGTAGTTTAAAATAAAGGTGTTAGCTTTATCTAAGTTAAAATATTGGCTTGTTCCAGGCACTTTATTTTATGAGCAATTGCACTGAAATGGCTTTTGAGACAAAATTGTGCATTTCATTACTTTTCACAAGAAGACAGACTGGCATTTACTTATTCCCAGGAAGTAAAACTTTGGTTCCAATGATGCTTTTTTTAGATTAGGAGAACTTTTTAGAATAGGAAACCCTCTTAGAATAGGAGACCTTTTTAGAATGGAAGACATTTTTAGAATAGGAAACCTTTTTAGAATAGGAAACCTTTTTAGAATAGGAAAACTTCTCCTGCTTGGTCTGGCTCCAAGCTCCAGCTTCCCCTCCCCTCTGAGATTATAGAACTGGATTGTTGTGGCTCCCTAATGAACACCCTGGGACAAGCCAAGCCAGGAAAATGAGAAACATCCCTGATTTTATGGATGTCCATGGAAAAGCAGGATTATGAAGCCAAGTGGGCACCTTCAGCAGCCAACACCAGCCCCCAGGTCAGGGCTCCTGCTCAGCTGTGTGTGAGAACCTGCAGAACTGGTGACAGAAAACCACCCGAGCAGCCACACCAGGCTGGTGCAAACACCACGGAAATTCAGGTTCCCGGTGAACAAAACACCAGAGGAGCACAGAGCAGGTGGGACTGGAAGGGATGGCAGCTGTGGGGTGGCACCTGTGGTGAAGTGGGTGGAGAGGCTCTCGCTCCTCTGCGCGTCCTTCTGCGCGTGGATGCTCAGCGTGTACTCGGTGGCAGGCTGGAGACCCTTCAGGTCGTACTCCACCGTGTTCCCCGAGACCATCTGAGTCACTTCTGGCTCTGGGAACAAAGCACAGGAGAAAGGAGGTGTTGATGTCATTCAGACACCTCGTGGTGTGCTCAGCTCCGTGCTCCACTCACTGATTTATTTTATTTCTACCTGGTGCAAGTGCAAAATAATAAAATCCCAAGCCTGTGCTGACACCTCTGCTGGGTCTGGATTACACCAGAGCCCTTTCTCTAAAAGTGTGAGCTCTCTCTAGTGTTCACAGGAATTATAACAGCGCCTCTGCTCCCCAGGAATCTCCCTTGCCTCTGTTCACGGCTGAATGGAGAGTGCTGAAGTAAAAAGTCAATTTTTAGATGCTTCCAGCAAAGCCTCTCCTCCAAATAACAGCCCCGAGGCTGCCAGAGCTCCAGGGATGCCCAGGGTGGGGTGTTGGGGGGTCTGGGCAGGGCTGGGAGCTGAGCTGCGTGATCCTGGGGGTCCCTCCCATCCTAATGGATAATTCTGGATATTCTGTGATTTTCCTGGAGTTACAACGAGCACCTCTTGAGAGCTTTAACCCTTCAGCTCCCCAGGCCATTCCCAACTCCTCTCACCTTCCTCAGAGGAGTAGGACACCACGTAGTTATCCACAGCAGCAATTGCTGGCTGCCAGGTTGCCAGAGCCTCAGAGTCTGTGATGTTCACCACTACCAGGCCTGATGGGCTGTCCAGAGCTGGAAGAAAACCAGATTGAAGGAATTTGACAAGAACTCTCAGCTCTGTGCAACACTCTGCTGTAAATCCATGAGAGAAAATGCCCAAAACTCAGTGCAGCTTTTATGACTCCCTTTGGAACGGTGGATTTCTGCAGGAAAGACGTCAGTGCCTATGAAGAGACACCAAAACCTCCACTGGAAAGGGAGGTCAGTGCTGGAAGAGATGAAAGTCTGGGAAGAAGCAGAACTAACCATGTTCTCAGATCACTCTTGATACCATCGATCTCAACAGCTCTGTCAAAGCTGACACATTTCTCTCAACACCCTCAAGTCTGGGCTGTTTTTTAGAGCAAATTCAGGAGACAGAGCTGGGAAAAATAACCAAAGTGACGGCAGCTGATGGTCACTGTGACCTTCCAGCAGCTTCTTTGGATCAGACCGATCCTGCAGCCAGCCAGGCATCCAAAGTCCCCCCAGGTCCAGCCTTGCCTCCTCACACAACTCCATTTTTCACACAGGTTTATGGTCTCCTTGAATTAAGATGGATCTTTGCCTCCAGAACTGCTGGAATGGGTTCTAAATCTCCTGTCATTCTCCAATACTCATCACCTTGTTCTTTGCCTCAGCTCTCTGAATTTGTTAGCCCCCAAAAGGAATTCAGGGAGGGGTCAGCAGGAGCAGGGGGGACCCTCATCTCCTGCAGGGATATTTAAAGAAAAAATCAGGAGACAGAATACTGAGAAAAATATTGAGAGTATATTGAAGAAAAGATCAGGAGAGAATGTTTTTATGCTTAGAACAGTCTGGAACTTGAGACATGTGAAGTCCACAACAGAAACTGAGCTGAACTGCTCAGCTGAGCTGGCCCTTTGCCTCCTCATCTCAAAAATGGCATTAATTAAAAAGAGAACAACACTTCTGGGGTTTTTTCTGATGAATTAGAACTGTAAATACATTAATTATCTCAGTCTCACAGGTTTATTTAGCATTTAGTAAATGGGAGCCTGACCAAATTTTACAAGTTTCATTCTCGTGTAAAATGCAAAGACAAAGGAGTGGGAAAAAGAACTTCCTACAGTTTGTGTGGGGAGCAAAAATGGGATCTTGGTGGGTTTGCAGCTCAGCTCTGGGCTGAGTATCTCCTGCAGCCCAGGTGATCCATGTAAAAAGCTGCTATTTCCTGCTTTTATTTCATTACCTGTTTTCAGGGTGCCAGAGACGGGCTCGCTTTCTTCAAAGCCTTTCACAGAGATGATGCTGACATTGTAGTCCACACCTGGGACCAACTTCACCAGCTTGGTCCTTGTCTTGCTCCCTTCGACTGTGACAACATTTGGAGTACCTAGGATGAGGATAAATGCCAAGGGATGAGTGACACAATACCCCAGGAAGGGCTTGAAGGGTGTTTTTAAAGACATTAAGGCCACCATGGATGTGTTTCTGCAGCAGGAGATGAATTTTCCCCAGTTAGTTAAAATCATTGGTGTCAAATATTGTTGCCATAACACCTAAATCTAAATCCTTGGTTTGCATTCAGTAAGAAGAAAATAACATTTTTAGTGGAAGGTGTCCCTGATTGTGACAGGGAGCTGGAATGAGAACAGCTTTAAGGTCCCTTCCTATGCAAACCGTTCTGTGATTTCTGTCCAGAAAAATACCATTTCCCAGGCAAGGTGTAAGCAGAAGCCCCAGTTTCAAACACCTTGAGGACAGGACTTGCAGTTTAGATCTGTCTTGCTCGTGGTGAGGGCTGGAAGATTCTCCTTTACCCCCTCATTTAGAATAAAGATCTAGCACCTGTTATTTTAAAAGGTGCTCTGTGTGTAGCTGAGGATTTAGCACCCATATTTACTCCAGATTCTGGGTTTATTCCAGGAAGGCACTCAGACAAGTGCCTAACTTTATGACTGGATTCTTTTTCTTCTGTGAGACCACTACATTTAAATCTGCACATGTTCTTCCAGGCTATATTGTCTAAAGACCTGAATCTTTCCTTGTCTCAGGCAACAGCAGGACTTGTTTTGGTGCTGATGTCTTTAGTGTTTGTTCTTCAGCTGTTTCCCTTCAGAGAAGTCCCTAAATTAGGTTAAAAATCTGTTGAAGTAGAGGAAGTTTTGGAAGTTGAACACCAAACCAGAGTGAGATGACATTGGGGAGCACCGAGTAAATCACTGCCTTGAAACTTTATTATAACCATGGATTCTGATTGATACTCCCAAGGGCCATCTTTTCCAGTGTTCTCAGCTCATGAAGGCAGTTTGGAAACTAATCCTCACTGAGGAGGTTCAGCAGAGACTTGTGAGGAGCACAAACACTCCAGCATCCCCCTCTGAGCTGCCTTACACGCCCTGCCCACGGGATGTGGACACGGGATGTGGACACGGTGTCCGGACAAAGGTTGGCTGCACATCCTCATTCCTGAAGGAAAAAAAGAGATGATCTGTGCGAGATCACCTGGGGGATGCACTGAAAGGGGGGATGGCAGCCCAGCAAAGCCTTCCTGCTCCTCCTGCCACCCCCTGTCCCTGCTCACCTCCCGTGACGGGGATGTAGGAGATGCGGAAGTTTTCCACGCGGGAGCGAGGGGGGATCCAGCTGACTGTGGCAGCATTTTCCGTGATGTCAGAGAAAGAAATTCCCTTGGGAGAGCCAACCACTGTCAGGGGAGAACAGAGGACACACCACACGGGAAGAAAAGGTAAATAATTTGGTTATCAGTCCTTAGTGCTGGAAAACTGATTTATCACCCTAAGGCACGAGCTGGTGCTGTCAGTGCTCTGCCCTGAACATTAATGCAGGGGGTACAAACTGAAGGGTTTTATTACAGCAACAACCTATTCAATCCAAGTTTTCCATTTTTTCAGGACCACTCAAGTATTGCATAGGTTAAAAATACCCAATGTATAGCTTCATATAGAAATAACAGAGATTTCAGTGCTGTAGAAAAGCACATAAATTACATTCTGCTGCCCATGGGATGCTGTATTTAAGATTTTTCTTTTCTATCCCAGTTTCACTTGGAGGATTTTTAGACCTTCCACTGGGTCCCTCTGTGACACACAGCAATGGCAGCCACAGACAGATCTCTCTTCCTGAGTTTGAAGTTCCGAATGCAGGATGCTCCAAGGAGACCTGGACTCAGGTGTGGGAGTCCATCAAGGCTCCTCTCAAGGATTCACTCCTGGAACTTCTGTCAGCTTCAAACCAGAGGGAATAAGATTTTCCTCCTGGACTCTCTCTCTGAGCTCATGATTTTTCTTTCAAGCAGATCCATCCAGAGAACATCCAAGTACAACCACCATGAGGAAGTCACCTGTGGCTGTCATAAAACTCAGCCTTTTCCCTGTCCAAACCTGAGCACTGCACTTGCTCATGTAAATTAAATCAATAAGCTGAAATGAAACCCAAATTTTACCAGAAATAACCCAAACTTAAACCCAACATGTATCTGAAACGTTCCAGTGGGAAGCTCAATTAAGATCCTGCAGAACAAGCATGGAAAGGGATTTGGGAGGACGTGGTAAAGAGAGCTGCCACCTCCAGGTTTACATGGAGCATCCCACTTCCAATCTTTCCAGCTTTTCTGGCTGTATCTAAAACAGCCCTGAGGTATTAAAAGATAAACAGCACACACAGAGCAGGCCCTTGGTACAGAGAGGAGAGATCCCAAACATCAGCCACACGAAGAACACTGGAGACAGGCTGAGGGCAGGGGAAGGGGGAAAGAGGAGGGAAAAAATTCAGGACTGGGCTTGAAATAGCTTGGAAAGAACGTGCCTGTGGGAAAGGAGTCAGAGGCTGTTTGTTCCATGTGTCCCCAAAGCAGCAGGGCTCTAAATCAACTGAAAGGCAAGGAATGAAAAACAACTGAGCTCTGAAGAGAAATATAAATTATGTCTCTGGAGCTCACTTGAAGTGTTGTGTTGGTGGGGTTTGCTCATGTGGACAAAGGAAGAATTACAGATAAGAAAGGAAGCAAGGTGGGGTTGGGAAAGCTACGTGGCTCAAAAAGGTGCTGCTGATTTGAGTACAGGCTGAAGGAAATTGTATAAAATAAAGAAAATGTGGGAAAGACAGAAAAATAAAAAAATCACATTGGTTTTGCTTCACATTATAGGTGGCCTGAGTGGCTGGAAAAAGGGCAGTGGTGATTTTGGAGATCAAAGAGATGGAGCAGCACTTGGTTTTCATACACATGGAGAATATCAGCCTTCCCCAGAAAATAAAATCTTCAGTCCATCCCACTTGGACTCTGCTGTGCACATTTCCATGGGGCTCAGGCTTGTTTTCTGCACCAGGTGAGCTGTGTGACAAAGAGCAGTAAGAAGAGCTTTGATGTGAGTTTTCCACACCCCAGAGTGCAGCTTTCCTGGGAGACAACCTGGTAAGAAATATACTGGACCATCAGAGCATCTGTCCTGGAATGAGTCCCAGAGATGGGAGAGAGGAAAATGAAAAAGAAGGGAATGAAATCATCCTCTTGGGCTCCTGAAAGCCAGAATTAAGCAGGCATAGAAAGCAGCCAGAGTACTCCTGGCCTGGCACTCACAGAGAACCTCAGGTCATCTGTTGGGCAGGCACAAGTAAATTATCTTTATCCTCCTGCACCATCCCCAGAGAGGTGTGAGAGACAGGGAACTCTCCTGAGAGGCTTCTAAAACACCCATGGTACTGGAGAGAGGCTATTTTTTTAGAGATTTCTTTTTCTGCTAATTGTTCTTTCATTCCTAGCAGACTAGAGGAGGATGGTCCCGACTTTCTTCTCCCAGTCAACAGGAAGCAGCAGGTTGTGTTTATCACACACCACGAGCATGTGAAGTGTTTCACCATCATCTCAGTTAAAAAATGCTGTCACAGCATGGCAAAAAAACACTGGAAGAACAGGAGAGGAGCAGCACGAGACTCACACTTCCCACAAGGATATTAATTGGGCCATAGATGTGTTGTGGTCTCCCAGTGAGAGTTAAATTGCACCTTAACTGAGATTTTACTGATAAATTTCTAAGATACTCCAACTCTGAGAACAGCAGTGGATAAATTCCCTCTTCAGGGATAGAAATATTTCCTCACAAGCACACTGGAAATGCTATAAATATCCATATGTTTGTGCAATAATCCACTCCTAAAAAAGAAATCTGTTGGCTGCCTTGGCAGCCACCCACCCAGTGTGGTGTAACCTGCAGCCCAAATCATTTAGCTGGGTTTTTGTGGCTCTATTATTATTCATGGGCTATTTACAGCTGACAAACATCTCTTGGGCTATTGCAGTAGGTGGCATGTGCTAAATCTCCCTGGGATGTAGTCATGAGGAAAATGATAACTCTCAGTGGCTTCCCATAAATACCCTGGGAGTCAGTGAGGATGGGGACGTGCTGCTAACAAGCACAGTGGACTTGAAACATCCCTCTCCATTAGGACCCAACACACAGGAGCCTGGCCAAGGGGGGCTGCTGATCAATGTTCTGCTCCCTGGATGTGTCTGGGGGAGCCTGAGGGTGGCCTGGATCCTTTTGCAGGTGTGTGATGGCAGAGCTGGGGCCTTTCTGTGCTTGCAGCTGAGCCCACGGGCAGCAGGGTGGAGGGTGAGGGCTCTGAGGCTGCTTCAGGAGAAGCTGATCCAACACTGAGTTGTTGCTGCCCTTTTCCTGGGTGCTGGCTGGCAAATGCCTCCTTTAGGCTGAGATGTAATTAGTCACTGAAAATCACTGAAAAAGGCTGATGCACAGACAGTATTTCTTGGCTCTCAAAGACAGTGTTTTAATTGCCACACTCTGCTGCTTAATTCCTGATCATTAAAGTAATTCAATTAAACCACATTTAATTAGACAGTGATGAAGCTTGGGGAGCTGAGACTGATTACAAATATAACCACAAAATAACCACACCACACTGAACCAGTGACTTGGACAAGGGACATGCAGGAGACAGTCCAGGCCACCTCTGGAACAGCAGGAGCTGGCTGTGGAAAGGAGCTGCTGAAAGGAACAGGGAATGTCACACTTTTCCCACTGCAAAGACAATACCTGTGGATGCTACTGTGTTTACAGGCTGGGAACGTTGTCCACTGCTAATTCCATAGAGCTCAATCTCATATTCAGTGCCCTCTTTCAGCCCTGTGATATCCTGGGTGCGCTCGTGGCCTGGCACTATCAGCTCCAGGGGGTCAGATTTCCTTTTGGTGTCCCTGATTTTTAGAACAAAACTGTTGAAAACCCCGTCATCCGCAGTCCAGGAGAGACGGAATCCATCTGGAGTCGCGTCTGAAACCAGAAGGTTGTCCACCTCGGGTTCTGCTTCTAAAAAAGGAGAAGATAGCAGTGGGGAAAAGAAATGATTTTTTAATCAGTTGATCAGAGACCTGCCTGAGGTCTGGCTATAGCACACTGCAAGAATCCGACCACAGTTCAAAGCAAGGGGAACAATCTGCCAGCTATTAAAAAAAAAAAAAGATAAATATTAGTGTTATACAGAACAGGATAAATGTGAGTGTGTGCAGCCCCATTCCAACTTTCACTCTTGAACAGCAAACCACTGCATGGACACACAGGTTTGTCTCCCACATGCAGAGTTACACATGCTAAAGGTGAGTTTCCTGGGCATTTCTCCCTCCCTACCTGTGGGACACCTTTATGGCAAATAAAAACAAAATCTTGTTACAGAACTACATGTCTGGAATGTTGTCAGGCCTCACTCTGCTAGGAGGACAACATTGAAGTCACTGAAAACTCTTTTTCTCTATGCAAGTCCCTTATTTCATGCACTTCTGGCATCTGTGATGCTTCTGATCCGATGAATCCTTTAATGTGCTCTTAAACAGCAAAGGGGAATCATGAAAATTCCTCTCTTAAACAGAACCCTCCAATCTAAATGCAAGAGCTGCTGCCTTTGGTTAATGAACCCATTCAAAAGGGTCCCAAGGGCTGTAAGTTATTAATTACCTGCAAAACATCTTTAACTCAGTATGGTCAGGCACCCTTAACTAGAGAAATGCTGCTGGAGTGGTTGTGTCCTACAGCACCCCAGTGCAATCCTTCCTTCCACACACAGCTATTCCTATTTGTTTCCTCTCAAACCTCCCACCAAATGCAATCCTTCCCTCCACACACAGCCATTCCTGTTTGTTTCCTCTCACACCTCCCACCAGATCCTCCCCAGCTTCACTGCTGCCCAGACAGGAATGTGCAGATGAGAGCTGATGGTTCTGGGGCTGGAGAACCAGCCTGCAATGGTTTCCCAAGGAAGCTCAAGTGCTGCTGGAAAACAGCAGCTCTGATGTGGTTGGACGCACGAGCTGCTTTGAGGAGAGAGGTGCCAGCTTTGGGGTGGCAATGCTCCCACTGTGGGTGGAACCCACACGGAGAGGGAGAGAGAGGAGGCCATGGGAAGAAGCCCATGGCTCTTCCTGAAGGTCCTGATGGCTGGAAGGTGGGAGAACGATGCTGTTGGAGAATGCTGATGTGCCCAGCTGTTAAGGAGATGAGCTCTGCATGCAGCCATTCTTCCCTCAAGACTCTGTTAGAGGTACCTGCAAGACCATAAGGAACTTTCACCCCTCGGCCCCCCACATGCTCCTCCACAGGATCCCTCAGAGGGGAAACATCAAGTTAAAGGGAACAGAATTCCACCTGTGAACCCATCAGTCACGAGGAGTTATGTGGTGCCACGATGCAGAGAAGGATGCAAAAGCCAAGGTTCGCACGAAACGTCTTCCGCGTGAGAAGGAAAGCAAGAGAAGAAAAGGGTGAAGGGAACAATTTGCTCACACTGAAATACCTGTAACAGCCAGAGCGCTCAGGGGCTTTGTTTGGTGCCCCTTGGCAAACCCATAAAGCAAAACCTCATAGCCAATGCCAGTAATTAGGCCTTTAAGCTTCAGTTCTCTCTGGGCTCCCGAAAGGAGGAACTCCTGTGGGTCCAGCAGCTTGCCAGAGTCCACCACGACTACTAGAAAGTTGTCAAAGGCATTCTCGGATGCCATCCAGGACACTGTGAACCCATAGGGGTTCATATCAGACACTGTTAGGTTTTCCAGTGGGGGCATGGCCTCTAAAAGAAGGGAAGGTGCAAAAACACACACACACAAAAAAGAAAAAAAAAGAAAAAAAAAGTGAAAAAACATTGCAAGTTAGAAAGTGTCACAGATTCCACCAAACAAAAATCACATTTTTCCCCTGGTGTGGATTTGAGAGCCAGGATCACAAGATGAGGATTTTCAATGGAGTTCAGTTTTGAATTTTCCTCAAAGATTTCTCAGCACCTCCTGTCACAAGCTCCACAGAAACCCCTCCCAAGCTCCCTGTGTGAGCACATTACTGCTGCTGCCCTTGCACTCTGAGGAACTTATAACCAAAACTGCTTTAGAAATGCTACACATAAAGCTTTCATTTCTTTTTACTTCTCTCCAGCATCAGTGCTTTAGGGACAAGCCTCTCTCTGAGCATTCACAACTCCTGTATTTTGCTACTTGAGCTGTTTCACATGAATATCTCCAGCTTTAGTTTTCGGTGCTGGAGGGGTCAGAGGTGCCAGAACAGGAACATTAATCACTCAGGGTCACAGCCAGTGCAAACCAGCTGCTGCTGTGCTCTGCTGACAGAAGTTCCACTGAGGGGTCCTTTTTCACATCACTGTGACATTTGTAAAAATGAAAAGATGTGGAAAATGCTTCAGAATTTATCCACTAAGTCTCAGCCAAAAAAAAGTGCCGAAGTTTCACAAGATTCTCAGTGTGTTTTGCTCACTCAAAATCTGACAAATCAAACAGGAAGACCAGGTGGCTCTTCTAAGCCCTGGCTTTGATCCTGGATCCCAGGCACTGCTTGAATTTCTCCACAGTATTTGTCCAACCTTGGCTCAGGAGCTGATCCAACCAATCTTCCAAACACTCAGAATTCCACTCACTTCAGAAAACACCACTTAGTTAAAGGCAGAACCTTCTCCTGAAAAGGGCTTTGGGTTTGCTTTTGACATTTCACAAACGCTGAAATGGATTTTGTTAGGACTTGGCATAAAAATTCCCCTCTGAAGAGTTAGGAATTGGAAGTCCTTATGTAATAATATTTTTGGGTTTTGAGTACACATTTATGTACTCATTCTAGAGATATTTTTGCATCTTATTTGCTTCTAATCAAGCAATGCCCAAGATTCACATTTTGGGTGGGTGTCTGGAAGGGAACATCCTGGGACAGGAGGTGTTCCACGAGCCAGTCCTGTCTGATGAACTCCTGAGCATCAGGCAAATTTCTCCCTCAAACTTCAGGAGTTATAAAAGATTATTAGACATGGGAGAAAGGCTCCAGAGGGATCTTAATGACAGAATCATGGAATCACAGAATAATTTGGGTTGGAAAGGACCTTAAACTCATCCAGTTCCAGCAGGGACACCTTCCTCTATCCCAGCTTGCTCAGAGCCCCATCCTTTTAACTCCCTTTAAACTAATCCTGCTGCTAGAAGTTTTTTATAAGTTCAACATCCCTGTCCTGACCCCTCTTTGCACCAAACTTTAAACAAACCCACTGCTGCCGGCCAGAGCCTCTCTGGCATTTCCCTGAGCCAAGAAAGGGGCTCCAAATCTCGGAGCAGGTACCTGTGGTGCCAGGAGCAGTGCGGGGCTGTGTGTGGAGCCCTGTGCTGGTGGTGCCCTGGGTGGGAATGCCATGGGCAGGGTGGGCAGTGGTGCCCCCCGGCACCTCCAGCCCCCGGCCCTCCAGGGAATCCCGGGTTTGGAAAAGGAACGAGGCCAAGGGCCCGGCTCGGGTGCTCCAGGACAGGTTGAAGCTGTCGGGGGTAACGTTTGTGAGGGTGAGCGTGCCCAGCTGTGGCTCAGCCTCTGGGGGAGAAAGGAACATTGGTGAACTTTCAAAAGGAAGCTTTGCTCCAACGGGTGGGGGAGTCAGCAGAGGGGGGTTGTAGGTACTCAAAAAATAATGTTTTAATGTTGTTTTGTTGTGGTTGAATAAAATAAAGTAAAGTAAAATAAAGTAAAATAAGGTAAAATAAAAAAAAAATAAAGTAAAATAAAATAAAGTAAAATAAAATGAAATAAAATGAAATAAAAAATAAAATAAAATAAAATAAAATAAAGTAAAATAAAATAAAAAATAAAATAAAATAAAATAAAATAAAATAAAATAAAATAAAATAAAATAAAAAATGAAATAAAAAATAAAATAAAATAAAATGAATTAAAATAAAGTAAAATAAAGTAAAATAAAAATATATAAAATATAAAATATAATAAAGTAAAATAAAGTAAAAAATAAATATGAAATATAAAATAAAGCAAAACAAAAAATAAAACAACATAAAATAAAATATTTTTTTTTAAAAAAAGCAGCATTGCAAGAGCTATCTTCTCAGGTTTTGGAAAGAAGCCACTGAAATTAGTGCTGACTTTTAATTCATATTTTTTCATTAAATTTTCTTAAATAAACTCAGTTTGCCTAATGAGATGTGGGTGTGGTTTAGAGAAGAACCAACAACATACACATACAAATTGGGGGAATTCCACACTGGGAATTTGATGGGAACACAGACCTACAGCAATTCCAAAACAGAGAAAGTAGGATTCAGGCAGGAATCCTTGAAATCACAATCCAGGTTCTGTTTGGTGTTTCTGTTGCCTGGAGTTGCAGATACATCTATTTTTGGACCCTGAGGTTTATGAGGGATTTCAGGCCTAACAGGGATTATCTCAGCACTAATCTCAGGCCAAAACCTCCCTGGACTCCACAGATAAGGTGTTCCTCATCCTCTGATTAGGCACAATCAGAGAATGCCTAATAAACAATAAACCCCACAACTCTGCTCTTGCTCTCCTTCCTGACTGTTCAGTGGTCAGGGCACCTCCTTAAGAAGCAAAGACTTTCCTTTTCTGCTGGAGGAAATTAAAATTCACATCTCTGCCCTGCCAGGACAGCAACTTGTCCTTCAGGAGAGGGAGAGCTCCTTACCCATTCTCTTTTAAACTTTTTACACAAAATCATTAAAGTTTCATTAAAGCCCAGAGAGAGAACAAACACGACCCAACAGTCAGAGGGTCAGAGAATCCTGTGTTTGTTCTCTGGGCTGGTCATCTATTTTTTATGTTGCCAATTGAGTAGGAACCAAGAACACCTTGGGAAATGCAGCCAGTGAGACACAGAAAAATAACGATGGAAAAGTGACCCATGCTGGGAGAAAAGTCAGAGAGGCATCCCACCGACAGAGAGTGGTGAAAGAGTGAAATCTTTTTCTCTGCTAAAACAAAACTGCTGCAAGATGTTCCAACTTTTAGTCCCATCCCTCATTGCAAGACTTTTAAGTAATAATCCATCTGGATTTTCTCTGGAATTGTTTGGGAAGAGGTGAATGGAAGTGGCCCCGATTAAGGACACGGATGGCACAGATGTCATGCTATGAACCAGTGACCATGGATGCCTTCATGGCCAGCACGGAAAGTGCCACCATGGTGCTCTTGAAGACAGGCAAGGAGATGAGAAAATATCCACAAAGCAAACAGGCTTGGATGGAAAACCCAGGAGAACGGAGCCCTCAGCCCCACATGCAGCTCGGAGAGGGCAAACGGAGCCTTTCCAACCTCGTCCTGGCATGGCCACATTCCTTCACATGCCACCTGCATCCACGGTCAGGCACATTCCCGTCATGACAGCCTGACTCCTGGGAATGCTGCATGCAAAATGAGCTGGAATCACATCCTCAGGCAAGTCTTAGTGATCTCCTGCCATCCTGGAATCACCACCACCACCACCACGGGAAAACAAGACAGGACCTGGAGACTCAAAGGGAGCAGTGCACGGAACAGAGTGGTGGGCTGGCCACCAAGAAAAGGGGAATTTGGTTTTTGAGCCCTGCTCTGTGCTGACAACATGAAAATCCTGGGCAGAGAACCTATCAGAGCCAGCAGAAGGTGGCCAGACCACTCCATGCAGTTTGGGTTGGTCATTTCACATGCGGCACGAAACGCCCACCAGAGATGCAAATGCCTTGGGAGACATTTGGGTTTGAGGAGGACAAAACTGACATGCAGGAGCCTCTCCAGGCTGAGAACCACATGGAGGCCTCTCTCCCACCCCCAGCAAAGCAAGGGAGGGTGGGATGAACAACTTCATTCAAGATCAGGTGCAAAGATGCTGAGTGAAACACATCAAGCATCAGGCGCAAGGCAATTATATATACACTGAACTTGCAGAGGGGTGTGTATATATAAGGAAACCATCACGGTTTACTACTGACTCTCTTAATGCTGGGGGCACTTTTTCAGCCTTTCCCATTGCCTCTGATCTTTTTCCAAGCCCTCTCAGTGCATTTCAGCCTCCCCTCATGGTGATCTCCCTGTAATTCCTCAAGGGAACGACGATGAGTTGGAGCCACGTTTTAGAGCAGTTCAGTGGACAGCAAGAGAAAGGAGAATAAAAAGCAAACCTGGAAGGTGAAACAGTGAAATACCTGTGGTTGCCATGGCTGTCAAGGTCTGCCCACCTTGCCCATCAATTACCCCATGGAGCTGGACTGTGTAATTAGTGGCTGCTTTGAGGTTGGTCACTACAGAGTGCTGGGAGTCCCCCGGCACTGTGAGCACCAGGGAGTCCAAGGGGAAGTCAGAGTTCCTGACTTCCAGAATAAAATGGTCAAAGGCCTTGTCCTGTGCCTCCCAGGCGAGTGACAGGCTGTCTGAGGTAGCGTTTGGTACACTGAGTTTGCTAAGGAGAAGTTCCTGTACTACAGGAAGAAAAACAAATGGAAATGTATCACAGTTATTAAAAGCCAAAGCAATAAAATAAATTAATAGAGAAGTTTGAATTTACAGGTCACAAGGGTCACCCAGCCTTGTGTTTCCCTGTTTCTCATACCCCTGCTGTCACCCTGACCCTGCCACCCATCATCAAATGAGGATATTCAGAGTGTGCTGCTGCTGGAAACTGATATTATATTACCTGATAGCTGAGATTTGATATTTTACTTTCACTGACCACATTACTCCATTCCTATGACAAATCACTACGGCAACTTTTCCTAGAGGGACAAAATTTGGTGGAGGTGTTAAACAATCACAACATGAGCCATTATCTGCCTACAAGAACACTGTTCTGTTTCTGTAGTCCAGTCCTCACTTCCCACTCTCATCCTGAACATTTGATTTCTCTGTCTTTTCTGCCACCTGTAAAACCTTGAAGAAACCTTGTGCCAACAACTCAGCTCCTGCCTATTCCACTCTCTGACATCAACTCAAATTGACTTTTCAATCTCTCACCCAACACAACCTGAATAATTAAAGCTGAATTTCAGCCGTGAACGTGCCTTGCAGGATTGTGCTGGCACAGCCTGAAACGTGCCTGACATCTTTTGGGTGAATCAGGGTAAATCTGTGTCTAGAAATCAGCTTATCTGAGAGGAACTGCGTCTGCTCTGTGCTGTGGGACAGATGCACACGCAGGATGGAAACTGAACGTAAGGAATCATCTCCTGCTTGGTTTTGGGGATATTTGCTTTGCTTCTCGTCTGCCTCAGAGGCTGCCCCAGCCCTAATGTTTGAACTCATTGTGTGAATGAGGTCCCAACACGATGTGATTGCCTGACTTTGCTGGGTGGGATGGTGGCTCAACATTCACAGCTCACAGTGTCCTCGGCTGGTCTTCCTCCGAAGGCGCAGAGGATTGGGAAATGGGTGGGCTGGTGGGGTGGCTGAGGGCAGGGGAGGGGCACAACCTGTAAGGAAGAGTTCAAAAAAGCAGAGTTAGCGCTGAGGTAGGTTTTGTGTACCTGTGGTAGCTGCAGCACTGATTGCCTGTGTGTGGAACCCGCGAGAGATCCCGGAGAGGTAGACAATGAAATCAGTGCTGGGAGAAAGCCCTGAGATATGAGCAGTCCTTGAGTCGCCTGAGAGGTTGAACTCCATGGGCTCCAGCAACCTGTTAGAATCAATAATTTCAATGGTAAAGACGTCAAAGTCCCCGTTGGAGGCTGTCCAGGAGAGGTTGAAGCTTTCGGGGGTAATGTCGGAGACCATTAGCTCAGCAACGCCGGGCTGCTCTCCTGGGGAGGGAAACAACAGCGGTCAGAAGGGCCCCCCGACCTCCTCCTGCTCTCAAAGGCTCCTCTCTGCCATGCTGGCAGCACTCCGAGCTGGGGAAGGGGGTGTGAGTAAAAGCTTGCTACGAGCAGAGAGGTACTGAGGGGAGGAAATCAAATGAAAGCGTGGCAAAATGTTAGAGAAACGAAAAATGTTAAGAAAAAAAATTAAAATAACATTTAAAACTATGGTTATTTCCCTCTCCCTGCAGGAGCAGCCATGTCTTTGAGGTCTGAGCATGAAAGCAGATGCAAAAGGACTTTCTTGAATGCCCCTGGGGCATTTGGAAGAGATGGTTTCCAGTTTTAGGAGAAGCTAAAACCAAAGCTGTCGCTTTATCCCAAGGAAAATCTTGTATTTTGTTTACTCTTCTACTTTCCCTTTCAGCTTAAGTCTGTGAAAGCTGGCTTGTAATTTTGGAGCTGCAGCCAAAATGCAAAGCAGGCAGAGATGCCTTGGGGTTTCTTCCTCTCTGCAGACATCCCCACAGCGTTACAGGAAGGTTCAGATATTTCTAACAATTGGAAGTCCCCAGAAGGGAAGACTTTGAAAAGCTGGGTGCTGAGCTTGACCCAGAAAGGGAAGGGAAAACCTCAGCAGGGCATTTTCTGTTTTCATGAGGGTAAAGGAAGGGAGCACACTGCATATTTCGGCAGGACACCCGTGATGTGTTTCCTGCTTTGTCTCTTTGTCCAGCACATTGCTCTGTTCTCCACGGGCATCTGCTCCCAGCTCCTGGTGAGGACTCTCAAAGCTCAGCACAGACACATTCCTGCCCAGGCCAGGCTGCTTCAAGCACTACAGAAACAAGCAAGCTCTGCTGCACTTCTTGTTTCATTCTGCTCAGTTCTCACAGGTGCTTGCAGCCCTTTCTGTGCTGGGGGAACCTGGCATGAGCCAGCTCTGGCTGTCTCACAGAGACAGGAGGCTGCAAAGGGCTGTAGGGGAGCCCAGAGGCAGCAGAAATCATCTATGAGAAATTATCTGAAGGAAAGGCCACTGGTGCCCCTTTAGTGCCAATTAATTCACACAGTTATCATAGCACCTGGGAGGATCAGACAGCCACACAGCAGAGATGTAAATATACATTTATCTCTCATGGTCAAAGCCTGTGATAAGCTCTTATTTCAAACTGTTGCCTTTAGATGATCAGCCAGAAAATGATTTTGGGGCCCTTGATGAGTTTCATGCAAGCTCCTGATAGCAGAGCTCACCTGCCTCCTCCCAGGCCAGTTTTATGCCAGGGTAGTTCTGCTGGATTTGATCTTTTGAATTATGTCTTTTTCAGGCCAATCAGACTGTCCCATCACCTTAGATGGTTTAACATATTTTATTAGTCTTGTTAGGAATTAATTTGTGTCCTTGAATTTGTGTATTTCCTATATGAGGACATACAGGATGTGTTTGTCCTTGCCATGAGTAGGTACACACAACTTTACCACACTGAGAAATCCACACAGAAGCTACTGAAGGCAGCTTCTGATGGGTAAAAACTGAACACACTCTCAGGTTTTGATTAGGACATATTTTTATAATTTTACCAGGCAACCTGGCCTTTCCCAAGCAGCTACAACATCCAGCTGGGGTTTTGCTGTTAGTGTCAGCCACGTAAGTGAGGAGAGAGAACAATAAAAAGCTGCTGTGAGGTGGGGTGGGGACAAGCAGGCAGGGAAGGGCTGCACCAGGGCACTGAAGCTCTGGCTGGAAAGCCTGACCATGAAGGAATTCTGTGCCAGAGATGTCCAGCCAAGCTTTAATGAGCTCTCCATGCAAGGCTGAGGCAGCGAGCAGGATTTGCCCAGCTCTCACAAGAGCTCCGGCTCACATCCCTGTCAGAAAGAAGCCAGGGCTGGAGGAAAGGTACCTGTGGTGGTCTCAAGAGAAAGGGGCTTGGTCCTGTAGCCCCGAGCGACCCCCTGAAGGGTGATGGTGTAAGGAGTGTTGGCCTTGAGGCCGGTGACATTGGCAGAGCTCAGGCCCCCCGGCACTGTGACATTCCTCCTCTCTTCGGGCTGCCCAGACTCCTGCACCTGAATGACAAAGCTCTCATAGGCACCCTCAGCTGCTGTCCAGGTGAGCTGGAAACCATCCCAGCCAGTCTCTGCTACTGAAAATGCTCCCAGCTCGGGTTCCTCCTCTGGATAACAACAGAGAGGCAATGTGTTACTTGGGTTGCAGAGTGGTGCTGATGTCGGATTATTTAATGAGGTTCTGTGTTAATGAGGCTCACATAATAACCCCAGAACAACAGCTAACACCTTCTCCAACACACTCTGTGTGCTGTGCCTTAGGAGCTCTGAAAACAAAGAAAACAGAGGAGCTCTCCTGGTTTTTTGGAGTCTTAATCCAGGCCTGGAGCAAAGGGAGCATCAGCAGCGCAGCCTGGTTCCCACAGAGCCACCGAACAGCAGGTCCAGAGCAGCAGACACAGGGATGAGATGGAACCCTTCCAGCATTCCTGGCACATCCTCAGCTGCTGGAAATCAGTTCTCTTTGATTACAGAACTTCGCTCATTTACATCACATTGGAACCCTAAGCATCCAAACTCGCCTTTTGTCTTTCCTACACCCATCAGTGAATGCTCTTAGTACAAACCATGAGGGGAATTCGTGCCAAAAATCACAAACACATCCAAAGCCAGGCTGAGAAATCCTACCAAAAACAGGCTTGGAGGGGTTATCCATTGCAATACATGAAGAGAAAAGTGGAGGGGACACACATTCTTGCCTAAAAACGCGAGAGAAAGAACTTAAAAACCATTTCTTATAGAAGATCCCAAGGAATGGAAAGGGGAAAGGCCAGGCTTTCAACATGCTGGATGATCTATGGATCTATCCGGCAGAACAGTCAGATTGTGGAAATCTGAGAGCTTCGGAGATCACAGGGAACGTGTTTGTGATCCCAGGCACAAGGCCCCAGGCAGGGATTTCTCTGACATGCGGAAATATCTCCTCATTAGTGGGAACCCGCATCATTTCACACCTCGGTGACTTCCTTGCTTTCATGCTCCACTTGCATTCAATAAGAGAGAGCAAGTCATGGAGCACCATCCATCAGCTCGGCACAAATATGTACTCGGGATTCATTACATGTCTCCAAATTCACACTTACATCACAAAGAAATACATTTGCAGAGGAGCAAAATCAATTAGAAATGGTTTTAAATAGATGCAGAAATGTTATCTTGTAAATACGCTCTTAGGCCAAATACAGGTGTGAAAACATGGTTTTCTGCTCACCTCCAGGAAGGAGAGAAGCCTGTAAGGCAAAGAGCAATTTATATTTATTTATATTTATATTTATATTTATATTTATATTTATATTTATATTTATATTTATATTTATATTTATATTTATATTTATATTTATATTTATATATTTATATGATATGATATGATATGATATTATATTATAGTATATTATATTATAGTGTATTATATTATATTATATTATATTATATTATATTATATTACATTATATTACATGACATGACAGGACATGATATGACATTACATTACATTACATTATATTGTATTGTATTGTATTGTATTATATTATATTATATTATATTATATTATATTATATTATATTATATTATATTGCCACACAAGGATTTGGTTACTCCAATCTGGATGGAAAATGCATCAGCAGTTCAAGTACATTATAAAAAACCTGAGGGACCAACCACCTGTGTGAAATCTGAATCCAGAAACCTACTGCATTCACAAGTGGATTTATTTTAATGTTCCATCTTTGGAAGCTACATGGAGGTTGCCATGTACAGACATGGAACATAGGGAATGTAATTCTGAATATTACCTTGGAGTTAATTACTCCAGAAATAATTTGTGGGTGAGAAAGAGTGGTTTCTACCACAGATATTAACACACATATATCCCACAATAAATTCATGTGTTTCAGGGGATTTTGTGGCTTTGTGTACAAGCAAACAGGAGACACAAAATGAAAATTATATGAATACATGGAAAATACTCTGATACCACAGATAGTATCAGTGTTCTTTGTTTAGCAGGCAGAATGCTGTAATAGCTAATGGAAAATCTGGAAAACAATCAAACTGTAGAGTAACAAGAGCAGTGGAACTCAAACACTTGATTTAACAACAAGGGGAATAGATGGGCAGGGAAAAAAGAGAGCTCTGGGAGCTTCAGGTGGGTGGGTGACAGCCAGAGAATGATTCACAGTGCTGAGATGAATGAACAGAGATTAAAGATGTGTAAAAGGGAAACTGGATGAATAATAAACATACACTCCTTCCCAGGCTGGGATACTTCTTACTGTCAGCTTAGGAAATAGATCCATATCTCTTGGTACAGGCTGGGCCTGGCCTGAATGTGTCTGTGGTGTGGTGTTGGCCTTTTGAGGAATTCCACTGGAATGTTTCTCTGGTGATTTTACTAAAAAGGATGCTCATGTGCTGCCAGGACATTTCCCTGACTTCTTGGGATAGAGTATTCTGTATTACTTCTTGCTTCTGAATCTGGGATTTTATATTATTCCCCAAGAGGGGCTCTCAGTCACTTTCCCAATCTCTCATGTGAGACATGATGACCCAGCAAGGTTTTCTTTATAGTCCCCTTTGGCTAAACCACTTTTCCCCTTTCTCAATCTGGTTAAACTGTGCTTGCAGTGCCTGTGCACCTCTGAATTTCATGAAGAAACCACTGCAGCACGTCACAAGCCAGAAATACTGGAGTAGTTACCACTAAAAATCCCCATCCTGAGCTCAGGTGCCAGGTGCTCTCCAAGGAGGGTTCAGCTGAACCAATGGACAATCTTCCCTGGCAGATTGAGTTTCCCAGTGGTCAGCACTGCACTTTCCCATGGAACTGGCTCACCTAATCACTCTTGCTAATGTTCCTTTGAGTTTGTATAAAAAAGGGTGGCGCAATCTGAGCCTCGGAGCAGCCAGGAGAGGAAGAGGGACTGACGCACAACAGGGACAAGGGCCTTTGGTAAACAGCATAAATCTTCTGAGAAACATTCAGCAGAATGGAAAAGTCACTTCTCCAAGCCATGCTCTGCTGTACAAACTCACTTCCAGAGGCAAGACAGCATCACATCCAAGATTCATCAACAGTTGCTGCACAATCTGGGTCCTTCAGCAGAGGAATTTGAGCTTGGCTCTGGGTTTCTCTAGTGCTGGCTCATTTATCTCCCCAGGCCTCTCATGCCTGATGCATTGCCATCCATCCTGCTCCAGGCCCCACATTGTGCTCTGCAGGCAGGCTTCCAGAAGCCAAGCAGGAGAGAACAAAGCTGCAGTCTGAGTTCTGAGCTGCTCAGAGCTGGGCTACGTGCTCACCCTACAGATGAGCTGAGATCTGCTGGGACATGCTCAAGGCAAGGTCCCTCCAAGGAGTAAAATGGATCATTTTCTTTAATTTCTGAGTCAAACCTTTGTGCAGTGCTGGGTGGGACCCTCGTGATTCCTTCACTAATAACAGAAAGGAGTTTCCTGTTGTAGCCACAGCTTCCAGCTGCTCTCCAGCCAATCCACACACCTTGATCTTATAGGAAGTGTTGGCTTGGAGGCTCAATCCCAGCTCCCAGGGGTTCTCTGGGCAGGAAGGGCTCTGCTGTGACACTTCCATGTTCTCCAGCACAAAACTGCTGCAGGTTCCTGTATTCACACACCACAAGACACTAAAGCTGTGTGGTCTGTTCCACTCAGGACCACAAAGTCCCTCATGGAATTCTGCATTCCTGAAGCCTCTGGAGCAAAAAAACTCATTTCAGGGAGCTCCTCTAGGTCAGGACTCAATGCTTGCTTGTATTAGGATTAGGATTTGTAATTAGGATTACACTGCATGGAGCTACAAGAGACAGACAAGCAAATGGAAATGTGAAATATTCAGTTTTTCCTTTTCAGCAAGATTTAGAAAATTTCACTTTGTAATCTTTGCCATTCCTTGAGTGCAGGATCAGAGAGATCAGTTAAAAAAGACTGTGTCACTTGAGCTGCACTTCATCCCTGTGAAAAGACAGAAGCAACAGTGGCTTCCATCCTGTGCTGTGGAAGATTTTGTGATGTGTCCTTCGCTAGAGGTTCATGAGCTCTGAATATTTCAGCTTGCCCCTGCAAGAGAGGGCAAAACAAGATTGTTTGGCTTTAGCTTGAGGACTTGGGACCTCCCAAGTGCTGAAACATGGATAAAGAGGAGTGTCTTGAGGGAAGATGGAAAAGCAAAGTGAAGAGACCACTTGTCTTGTACCGCCCAGGCTTGCAGAGAATTTCTGCTCCCTGTGCTCTGTGTTTGGATTTGTCCATTCCCATGCAGGAGAAAGGTCACAGAGCCAGGTTATGTCAACTGCTGCTCCCAGGAGCCCACTGCAGAGCCCTCTTTGTTTACTGGTGCTCTGAGTAAAGACCTAAAACAAATACAGCGGCCAGATGAAGAAAAACAAAATAAAATAAAAGGCAAACTAGGAAAAATAAGCCACCTTGTGAAGCTTTGGGAGCTGGTGCTGGAAAGACCAGGCTGTGAAATTCCACAGCACATTGTTTCTGCCTCTTCACCATCTCTGCAGACTTCCTTGAAACCTCTCAGTCTTCCAGCAGAGAAAGCTGGAAAATTGAAGCCTGCTCACTGCTGCCACACAAACCTACAGCTTCTTTTTTTCTGTATGTGCCTCAAGGCTTCCCAATTTTTCCCTGCACTGGACACAGACCTGGCTTAGGCATCAAAAAACTCATTCAGGACTGATGGTTTCCAGACCATGTCACTCTCTGATGGATTGCTGTCTCTATAAAGCATTCAGAGGTTGTGCTGGCCTGAACACTGCCAGGGAATATGAACCCATCTTTGATCGTTTAAGCTGTGTAGTTATTAATTTGTAAAATCCACAACGTCTGGCACGTGCTCACCTCACAGATGGTCTTTGGGGAGAAAAGGATAAACACCCTGGTATCTGCTAGGGACAATAACCATAGCCCAGCTGATTCTGATTTCACCATCTCTGCTTGCTTAGAGCAGTAAAGGCTTTGCCTCACAGGATTTAGGCTGAGAAACCTAAAGATTCAGGACTTATTTTTGTTCTGTACTGAGATATAATTCCTTATGCAACAAACTTTGGCTCAAAATGTTTCACAAAGGATAAAACCTTGTTCAGTAAGTCATCTGATACTGGTCAGTGGGAGAGGTTTGCACAAATGGAGATGGCAGAAACAGAAATATGTCACAGTACCCAGTGGAAATGGTGGCTGGAACCAGATTGGGGCAGGAGCCTTTCCCACTTTTGGATGATAAAACTGAAATAGGACAACATCAGAGCCCCACAGGCCCTGCTAAGGGATGATGGCCTACAGTGAAGAGAATCAATTAGGCAGGAACAAACAATGTTAAACACGTTCTGGTTGCTCTTCCTCTTACTTTTTGGCTGTAGGAAGCAAAACATGTTAGAAGACATGATGCACAATAATACCCAGCCTCGCCTAAAACAAAGAATGAGTTCTACATCCATGCAGGACCAGTGGATGAGTTCTTTGTGAGGCCTCGCAGAGGATGAGCTCATTGGGAATATGGAGGTGAACACAGCAGGGAGGGAAATACAGAGCCACCCTTCACTCCCCCATGCTGGCAGAGCTGTGTGCTCTGCAGGACATTCCCCAGATATGCTTTAGGAAATCAGGTGAGGTTATCCCTGGGCTAGTCCTCGCCCATCAAAAGCTGTTACTCACCCGTGAAACCCTTGACAGTGGTGGGTTTGCTTTTGTGCCTGCCCTTCTCTGCCAGCAGGCTGATGGTGTACTCGGTGCCTGGATCCAGCCCCTGCAGCAGGAAGGAGGTGCTGTCCACAGGGATCTCCACCTCGCTCTTCTTCCCCGAGGCTCCGCTGTAAACGAGGCGGTAGCGGTCGAACTTGGCCACCGGCCTTCTCCAGTGAAGGGACAAGGTGGTCTCAGTGGGCTCACTGACTTCCAAGTCCTTGGGGTTATCAAGATCTACAAACAAAAGCAAAGTTGGTGTGTCTCTGAACTGGTTTTTTCAGGCATCTGTAGAGGAACATCTCCACTGAAGCAGCAGCTCAGGGTCTGCCCACCTTTGGCATCTTTTGAAACGGGTAGAGGATGATGATGATGATCTCCTTTACAGACAAAACCAGAACAAATTTCCCCCACTTACACTTGAGAGGCAAAAGTAAAGCCTTCAGATAATTCACCCGGGAAAAGGGGGTATGGTGTGAAAAATTCCAGATTGCCAGGTCAGACAGGAGTACTGCAACCACTCTTTGTCACATTAACATTTTGGCTACCACCATTCCACAGATAGAGGATGGCCAGAGTGATCAGTGGAAGCATAATTATCATTAAGGAGCTCACCTGGAGACAAAACTCCCAGAACATTAAGAACAGCAAAAAGTCAGATTCAGAGGTCATGATCTTTGTGGGAATTTTTTTCTTTTCCTTGAGGGGAAATGTAGCAAAATTAAATCAAGAACTTTCTAAAATATCTCTTCTGGCATCTCTTAGAAATGAAAGAGTGGTTCCACCTGAGTTGTTGCCTCCTCCAGAGCTCAGATGGGATCAGGACACTCACCAGTGCCAGCGTTGATGGTGGCAGGAGCACTTTCCCTGTCGTTCCTCACTGCTGTCACTCCAATGCCATATTCAGTTCCAGGCCTCAAACCTATGAGATGGGGAGGAGAAATATCAGTTCCTGTCCATGGAATATGCCTGCAGGCATTTGTTGGAATAAGGAAGGCTGAATGGATGCAAAGCAAGAGATCTGCTTTCCTCTATGCAGAGAATTGAGATTTCTGTTGACCCTCTAGCTGACAAGCTGCAGACTGGCACCAGTGAATCCCACCCTGACATGAAAATGCCTTTGGAGCTTGGGATGTGAAGACACTTCCACAAAGCTGCTTAGAATTCGGGGAACTGACTGGTTGGAGATTCAGGGATGCGCATGGAAGTGAAATGGTTACATAGCTTCTGCTGGCTGGTTATCCACCTGCAGGCATGGAAATCCAGTTCACATGGCTTTTAACTCAATTTGGTCTACTCAAAATCATACAATCATGGAATAGTTTGAGTTGAAAGGGACATTAAAGATCATCTTGTTCCATCACCTGCCATGAGCAGGGACACCAGGTTGCTCCAAGCCTCATCCAGCCTGGCCTTGGACACTTCCAGGGATCCAGGGGCAGCCCCAGCTGCTCTGGGCACCCTGTGCCAGGGCCTGCCCACCCTCACAGGGAACAATTCCTTCCTAACATCTAATTTCAAATTTGTAACCTCTTGTCTCAAAAAAATATGTCTGAGATTGCTCAAAATCTGTTTGTACCTCTAAGGTATAGTGACCACAGGGACATTTTATCTCCATGTCCTGTGCCCTGGGGTGACAAAAATATCTCTCCATTCCCCTACCTGTGAGTGTAGCTCTGGTTGTGGCCTGGCTGCCCTTGGGCACCGCAATCTCCACGTGGTCCCCACCAGAGATGGGGGCAAACTTAATTCTGTAATTGTCGACATTGGCGTGGCTGTTCTTCCACTCCAGGGTGATGCTGTTGTCAGTCTGGGACACCCTCTTCAGGTTCCTGGGAGCATCCAGGTCTGGAATCAACCAAGCAATAAATAAATGATTAGGAGGATTTATCTTCTGGCAGCAGTCTCTTGGGACAGTGCTTTTTAGGAGGTGAAATGACCCATAAAATTTCCTCTCATGATCCTGTTATGTCTTAACTACAAAAACCAGAGTTCTTCTAGCATGAAAAAGTAGAGCTCACCAGTTTCAGTTCAAGAAATTTAACTTCTGTTTCCTGAGACAAAAATAACATTTTCACTCCTAACAATTAGTTTTTATTACTAAGCAGGTTTTTGGAAAAACATATTTGGATGAAATTACTGTTTTCCTTTAGAAATACCTCAGTTTCCAAAAGGAAAAAAGAGCAAAGAACTGGTCATCTCTAGAATTTCTGTTCAGTAACATCTTGCATTCATGGCTGGAAGGAACTCTAAGTCTCAAAAAAAGGTGAATATTATATAGAAATTCAATGATCTTTCAGTTCTCACACCTGCAGTAGCCTCAAATCCTGCTCCAAAATAACAACTGTATTTTAGGATGAAAAGGGATCTAATTTGCAGATCTCTTATGCATCAAGCCTTGATAACCTGCTAAAGGACCCACACTTGCCAAAAACATTCCCAGAATCACTGAGGAGCACGGTAAATTTATAAAAGAATGGCAGGAAATATTTGTAGAACTGAAGAAGGAAAAAAAAAAAAACAGTTCTCTGCTCCTAAGCTAATTAGGCAAAGAGAAATAAGATGGAATATGAACTATGGAAGATATTTAGCTCATCAGACAGACAAATGACCCAGAGGAATTTGCTTTTTGAAGTAGGGTTAAGAGACACAATAACCTAATTCCCATTTTTAAAATCAGATTCTTGGGGGGGTTCTAAATATTTTGGTGAGCCAACAAGGCATAAAAGGCTCAGGAAATTATTCTCCACTTTCATGTACCTCTAAAATTGGGCTGATTTTGTGTTGGTCATCAACTGCCAACAGACACAAACAGCACAGGAGGATGGGTGGTGCCTGTGTCACCTTCCCAGCCCCTCACCTGTGACAAAAACTTCCTTCACAGGGTCGCTTTCCATGTCCCCTCGACGAGAGACGAGCGTCACTTCATACTCTGTGTGTGGCCTCAGGTTGCCAATGAAATATTGGTTCTCATCTTCAGAGAGGTCAATGGTTGTCCTGTCCCCTGGAATGTCCTTGGGGCCATAAGTGAGCTCTACACCTTCAACTTCAGCCAAGGGTTTGGACCAGGTGACGAGAGCCGTGGTGTCGGTGATGTCTTTGGCCTCCACCTGGCTGGGGGCATCAAGCTCTGTTACCGAGCAAAAGAGAGGGGGAAAGGGGCTTTTAAAATAAACCTTGCCATGAAAAAAAACCCCATATTCTTATGCCTTGAACTGGTGATTCAGAACAAAGTTAAAATTAGTATCCTCATTTACGCTCTTCCTTTGGATCCTATGGTTTTAGACTCCAAATGGAATCAATCCATCAGAAGCAAATCCATCAAATCTCCTTCAAACCAGAAGCTGCCAAAAGAAAGAAAAGCAGGAACCCTAAGAGCTTCCCCACCTTCACACACCCTTCATGCAAATATCACCAGGATGAAACGAATTCTAGTAAGGAATTCTAGTTCCTGCTGATGTACACCTTGAAAAAAGAATAAAAGTGAATACTGCCTGCTACTTTCTAGCTGGACATTAATTCCCTTTCTGCTTCAAACAGGAAATATGGAGAGGAATTATTTTTTCCTCATGTATTCATTAGCAACTCCACTGTTTCCTTCCCCCCCACCTCACTCCATTAACTCACAGTGTAGAATTTGAATTTCTCGTGTTTAAAAAACCCCAAACAGCAGAAGTTTTCTTGGTGGCCAACTGAAACCAGACCAAACAGAGGCTGTGCTTACTTGTGGTGATGACTTTGGACAGTCCTGGTCCTCTGGTGTTGTTCTTCACTATATGGATGGACACATTGTACTGTTGCCCAGGTGCCAAACCTGGCTGCATGTAGGATGTCTCTGGCCTTTTCAAGCTGCTGGTTATGTCCCCATTATCATCCTTTTTCTGGAACACATGGGACAAATCAGTGAGTACAAACATTAAAATCCAGGATTTTTCACTCTATATGTGAAACTGCTTCCTCACCATATCATGGAAGACGAGCTCCCAGCCATCAAAAGAAAAGTTCAGAGGGTCCCACTCCACCTGGACGGATGTTTCCCAAACAGATTTGAATCTCAGACCTTCTGGAGCAGGCAGATCTGTGGCAGAAGAAAGGGATATTGTCACATGAGTAGCAAATTCCCATAAATAGGGTACTGGGGTGGGACATCTTTCCACCTTTAGAAAAATCTGCCAGGGTCGAACTGCAGCTGAGGTGGTTAAACTCTTGTGCTTAAACTCTCCTCAGATCCAGTTATTGTGGTTTTGGAGAGACTTTCCTGAGCTGGTTTATATGTCAACTTAGAATAAAATTAATTTTACCATCGAAATCTCTTTTTTTGGTGCCTTCTCGAAAGAAGCCTGGTGTTGACTTGGGAAGTCAGGAGAGCTGAATCCTGCCCCAGCTCTCCAGAAGTGAGCTCAGAAGTCAAAGAGCATCTTTTGATATCGGGATGTTTAGATATGACAGTGATGCACACAAAACAAAAAGGAAGATGAACAACAGAAGGACAGACAGGCAGATAAAAGGTAAGATATATTAAAACACATAAAACAAATATAACCTCCATTATAGCTAAAATGGTTTAAATTCAAGTGATTTCATATTGCTCTTTTACATGCTGCTACATTTTTTTACTTTTTTCCCAGGAAGAATTACCAGAATTTTTAAAATGAACTCTATAATAATGAAATGCACATTATAATAAAGAAATGTGCATTTCAATAAAGAGGCCACAGTTCTTAATTCACAAAGACCCCTATATTGGGAGACATTGAGAGCAGAAGAGCTTGTGAGCTGTGCTTCTAACACAGTCCCTGGTGCTGGAAGAAAGGAGAAAATGGAAGTGCAGAAGGCTGTTTTTTCCAGGCCAACACTTGAACTGAAAGTAGAAAATACAAAATAAATAATATCCCAAAAAAGGAATGTAAATCAATACGTCTGAACTGAAAATAGAAAATGCAGAATAAATACCCCCAAAAAAGGGATGCGAGTCAACACATACGAAGTGAAAATAGAAAATACAAAATAAGTAACATCCCAAAAGAGGGATGCAAACAGAGCAGACAAAAAGATGAATACAGGGAATATTATACTCACATGTGGCTACCCTGGCGCTGACTGGGATGCTCTTCTTGTTTTTAAGGATTGCAAAGACACGGATAAAGTACTCCACGCCTGGCTCCAGCTCATGGATGGTGGCAGCTGTGTGGTTTCCTGGCACAGTGAACTGCATGTCCAAGCCCCCACTGCTGGTGGGGACGTAGGTGATGAGGTACTCGTTGACGAGGTTCTCATGCTTCCACTCCAGATTGACAGTTTTATCCGTCACGTTGGTCACAGTCAGCTCAGTTGGAGGAGACACTGGGAATGGAGGGGGGAAATAAAAAGGCCAGACCAAATTTATAAGAAGTTCTCAAGGCTCAGGGAATAATGACTTGCCCAGTTTCACATTTTCCCAGGAGCGGTTCCTAAGGCTCATCTCACACGCAGGGAATGGGGAAGGCATGTCCCACAAATTAGCTGCTGAGGAAAGAAATGCTCAGCTGATGGAGACTACAGACATTTCTAGAAGCCATGGGCTAATTCTGCTCTCACACTTGCACACAACCTCTGGCTGACTGCATTCCAGCTGCTCCTCTCATGGCTGCAGCACAAGACTGCTATAGCTGAGTCCTGAGGGATTCAGATGTTTAATTCAACTGCCAGCAGCACATGATTGTAGAGCTAGAAGTCCTGGGATTTGCACAGATTTTCCAAAGTAAAATAAAACATTATTATTTGAGTAAATGCTTGCAATAGATCTGCCTGTGCAAGATCACAAAGTGGGGCTTAGGCACTTTCCAGAAGGAGAAGATGAAAGAGGGGAATTTCTTTTAAAGGGTATTCATTGTCATTTATAGTGTTCTCAACCCCAAAATACTCTTTGATTACTCTACCAAAATTTAGTTTCACAATTTCTCCCCTGGGATCTACTAAAGAAAACTACTTCATTTATGGTGTATTGCCTGTCATTATCTGGCTGCCAAAATTTTCTATCAATTTCCATAGAGTCAGTGGTCCTGGGGAACCAAGCGTGTAACTTTATAGCTAAGTTTCCACTCCAGCTGATCCCACAATTTTTCTCTTAAGCTTCTGTAAGATCTAATATACACACATCCATATACATACAAATATATGTGTATATATATGTGCCCACACGTGTAGTAAGAAGACTCTGGAACATTTCCCTTTTCTCCTTAGCTAGAACAGCTTCTTTCAGCTTTTTTTTTCTAGCATCAAGAGGTGCTATGAGAAATTGAAGTGTCATGGTGACAACTCCCCGCCAGTGCTGGCTACAGCACCGGTGACATCATGGTGGGAGCAGTAGTGGAGGTGACAAAGGCAATGCAGTACCATCAGAAGCCCGCTGTCTTGGTGACCACCAAAAGTCACCAGAACCTGCTACACTACTCAGCCCTGATATTTCAGGATGCCAAGAGCTACTGGTGTTGCATCTCTGATCCTGCTGTTTGGACTATGTTGGAAAAGCAGCAACAGGGCCCAGCTCTCTGGAAAAGCTTCACGGAGTGTCCATGGCCGTTGGACGGCCCAAGGGGAAGCACCTACCATCGGAGCAGTCATCCCCGATGTAGCCATCCTCGCAGACACAGCGCCCGTCCACGCAGCGCCCCGCATTGTTGCAGTCATTGGGGCAGGAGCGTTCCCGGCAGTCCTCACCCACGAATCCCTCGTGGCACACACAGCGCCCGTCGACGCAGCGCCCACGCCCGTGGCAGTTGTTGGGGCAGGCCAGCTCGCCGCAGTGGTCCCCGGTGAAGCCGTTGTCACACTCGCAGTGCCCCTCCACGCAGCGCCCGCGGTGGTGGCAGTCGTGGGGGCAGCGCAGCTCCCCACAGTCCTCGCCCGTGTAGCCCTCGTGGCACACGCACTGCCCGTTGACGCACAGCCCGTGGTTGTGGCAGTCATTGGGACACCGCAGCTCGGCACAGTCCTCGCCCGTGAAGCCCTCGTGGCACACGCACTGCCCGTTCTCGCACCGCCCACGGTTGTGGCAGTCATTGGGACACTGCAGCTCTCCGCAGTCCTCCCCGATGAAGCCCTCGTGGCACACGCACTGCCCGTTCTCGCAGCGCCCGCGGTTGTGGCAGTCATTGGGACACCGCAGCTCCCCGCAGTCCTCGCCCAGGAACCCCTCGTGGCACACGCACTGCCCGCCCACGCAGCGCCCGCGGTGGTGGCAGTCGTTGGGGCACCTCCTGTCGCTGCAGTCGTCGCCCACAAAGCCCTCGTGGCACACGCACAGCCCATTCTCACAGCGCCCGTTGCCATGGCAGTCGTTGGGGCAGGTGAGCTCCCCGCAGTCCTCCCCGGTGAACCCCTCCTCGCAGAAGCACGTGCCGTTCACGCAGCGCCCGCGGTCGAAGCAGTCGTTGGGGCAGATGAGCTCGCTGCAGTCCTCGCCGGTGTAGCCCTCATCGCACACGCACTCGCTGTCCACGCAGCGCCCGCGGCCGTGGCAGTTGTGGGGACACAGGGGCACGCTGCAGTCGTCACCCACAAAGCCCTCGTGGCACACGCACTGCCCGCCCACGCAGCGCCCGTGGGGGCCGCAGCCCTGGCCGCAGAGCTCCTGGCTGCAGTCCGGGCCTGTGTAGCCCTCGAAGCACACGCACAGCCCGTCCACGCACTTGCCCTGGTCGTTGCAGTCGGAGGGACACGAGGCTTGGCTGCAGTTGGGGCCCTTCCAGCCGGGCTCACAGATGCAGCCGCAGATCTCGATGCTGTAGTTGCCATGCCCGCTGCAATAGGGTGTGGTGTCCAGGCGACCTGTACCAACCATCCCAAAAACTCATTACTCCCATGGCGCTAGGATGCCTTAGGCCAGCGTGGCACATATGACCCAAAAGGGCTCTGATTTTCCAGTTCCCTACAGGACATCAGATTTCAAAGTTTTTAAATGAGAATCTCTCTTTCTTTCTCCAGCTAGATTTACTTTGCCAGGAAAGCTTTAATTTGCTCTAATTCCAGGGAAGAGCCCTTGCCAATGACTTGGTAATTGAGCATGCTAGATTCCTCCTTCATTCTCAAAATCCTCTTCCACTGACTGAACAGCTTTCCTGACTGCTTCATTAGGGAATGCACCATGAAACATCATTCATCCATTCACCCCAGAACACAAAAAAGTCAGGCAGCACATTGTGTCATCTGCTGTATCAGCAACTGGGAGACTGCTCTGAGCTCAGAGGGACACATTGCTCTGAAGAAGACTTGTGTTTCTTTTCTTGTATGACCAAATCCCTACCCTCAATTTAAAAATCAACCAGCCAGACACATTTTTTCCTCTTCTATAACTATTTGTGCTTGTCTATTGCCTTATGTCCTGCTGTATTTTTATTGGTCTCTACTAAAGAAAACTTGGAAGCGAAAATGGTTACATTGGCAGCTTCCTCAAGGGGACAATAAGTGGAGCCACAAGCTTGGACTGTGTGAGTTTTAATCTTAACCCCGACACAGATTATCACTGTGCCCAAGGGCTGTCCATGCTCAGTGCCACAGCTACAAAGGGTCCCAGGCCGACTCCTGACCCACAGATCCACAAAGCCGTGACACTGTGAATGAATGTACTTTGCACGCTGGCCAAACACATTCCCAGTTTTGATTACGTTTCAAATTTAACAGGTTGACTTGTGCTCATTCTTGAAACAGATTGGAATATCACTCTAAACAACATCTACAGCCAGCACAAGAATTTCCCCCAAGAGCGTCCCCAGCCTGCCTTACCTTCTACTGCCTGGGAATTAGGACAGCATCCAGCCCCGCTGGCACACTGCTCCCGCAAGGAGGAGACCAGCCCCTCCAGCTCCTCTAGTCTGCTCAGCAGATCCTTAATGTCTGGGGCAGCTGCACAGCCACAAGCCCGGCGGGGAATGTTAATCCTGTGAGTGAAGACAATCTGGTTCCCCTCATTCACCGTGTGCTCCTCGTAATTCTTGATGGGCTCAATTTCCGCCTTCAGGTCGGCGTCGCCACTGGCCGTGTCCAGGTCCACGGAGCAGAGGGAGCCAACGGGCAGCTTAATGTTGTAGACATGGTTGAACACCACAGGCTGGTTATCCTCTGGCAAGGTCACGTTCAGCCCAGCCTCCCTCTTCTGCCGGATAATTCTCTTGATGAGTCCCCCAGTGACGTGCTGGGACAGCAAAGCGAGGATGGCACAGGCCAAGACCCAGCTGGGGAGTCCCATTGTGGTGCCTGGTTCCCTTTCAAGGCTGAGAGAGTCTTAGGTCTGCCTGGCCTTTGTAATCTGCTGCAGAAATTGGAGAGCCAGATCCTTTTCTTTCCTGGTGTGTTTGTTCCCTAAAAAAAGAAGGAACAGGGATTAACAGCAGCCACACCACCCAACAAAACTGTTCATGTGCTGCATCCTCCGAGAAGAGGACACTTCACCCAAGCTGTTGAGCTTGCTCTGATGTGTAATAACAGTGGTTTTCCAGAATCCCAGTGTGATTCTGAAGGAAATGTCACCAGAGATGAAGGAAGCTGCTGTTGTTCCCAGGTTAGTGCAAATACAGTGGGTTGTAGAAAGTTTAACTCCCTCAAGTAGAAGACTGGGGCAAAGATGCCTGCTGAGTCCCAGCTCAACTGAAAACAGAGGCAGATAAAATAAATATGTGATCTGTTATGATTTAACCAATGTTAAATTCTGTATTTCCTTCACCCCTCCACTGCTTGAAGGCTGCTCAAGTTTGGACCATGGAAGAAACTCGAGACATTGTCAAAAGGTGCATCAATACCCCCAAGCTCATCCCATCCCTTTTCTGTGTTTTAAATTACTCCAATGCTGCTGTGGAATCTGAACTCCAGGGCTTGTAGCTGCATAGTAAGCTCCACTGCATGATGATTTATCAAGAGCATGAAGATAAATGGAGCTCTCTGCGGGTGGAAGGCTCTGGTGTCAGTGCTTGTATCACAGGGATATTTTAGTATAAAAGTAGTGAGATACAAGAGAAGCAGAGACTTCAGCCATAGAGACAGCAATAAAACCACATGTGTAAAAATGCCTTTTTAGCAGCCAATATCCCTTTCCATCAGGCAGCATTTCCCACTGTCTGATCTTTCTTCAGCTATAACACAATAACTCGTGTAAAGTTACAATCACCTGTCTGGCCTCTACAGCTCCTCCTAAACTCACTCTTTTCAATTAGCTCCAATATTTCCTCTTCCTCCTCAGTCTGTGCATGTTCCTTTTCAATGGAGTAAGCCAGGGGAGTGGAAAGACATCCATTGACTTCCATGCAGGATCAGCCCCTCAGCACGTAGAGTGAGGAGCCAAAGCAGTAATGGACTGCCCGAATGAGCACACCTCATAAATGTCATCTCAGCATTTGTTTTCCTTCCCACTCCCAGAAGAGCTTGGTTTAATGGTTAGATCAGCGACTGTGCTTTCAGTGGTTGCAAGCTATGAAATGCCACTAATGGAGGAAACAGCAATTTATTCTCTAAACATCATAGTTTTTATGCTAATTTATTTGTCAGATGAGAGACCAGCCTCTTCCACCTTTCTGATTCCCCCAAAGTGGAGGGATTGTTTTTCCCATGCTATCGCGGCTGCTTTTTTGAGGGAATGACAATAACACATCAGACACTTCACTGAAGTTTAGTGAGTTTTGTAGGGAACCTTGAGCTCACAAAGGACAAACTTCACCCTTTTTTACTGGGGAATAAATCAGAAGTAAACAAGCAGCAAGGAAGGCTTTTTCCTTGTTACAGAAAACCATTCAGCTTTAAGGCATTTCTAACACTTACCCCATTTGCTCAAATATTTCTGCAAGTCCTGCCTGCACCAGAAGAGATTACAAGGTTGTTAATAAAGAATAACAGAGACAGACATGGTCCAGGTCTCATTTCTCACTCAACCCCTAAACTGGGTTGCCAGTTCATGAAACATGTTTGGAACTGTATTTGAAGTGGGATTTTAGTCTTGAGAACTCCCACTTGGGCTTTGCAAAGTGCTTCCTATGCAATTCCATGTGCCGTTATGCACTTTTTACCCCAGGACAAGGTCATAAAACTGGTGCCTAACCCTCAAGTAGTCATTAAAGGGACGGGCTGCTTGACAGATGGATCACCAGTGGAAAATGGAACAAACTGGAGGCAGCTCTGCAACTCATTCTCACTGAATTTTAGTGAAAGCTGATGGCTTCTGTAAATACCAACCTACAGGAATACTGGCCTTGCCCAAACCAAAGAAATTGCACTTTTTCTGCTGACCAGTGTGAGCTGACAAACCACTTAACCATGATACAAACTGTGATTTCTTTAATGTGCCTGGGAAAATGAGAAACCTGCTCTGGCAAGAGCTGCTGTCACTGTCACCTTCACTACTGATGAAAGCCACATGAACACCAGGACTCTGAGTGGACACTTGCTGCATTAGAGGCAGCCAAACCCAGCTCATAGATGATACTGGAAGAATTAATGTGTCTTGGCTGACATCCTTTTGAAGTTTCTGGAGAAACATCATGGTGGTCTCGGAGCAGCATTCCACGCCTGCACTGTGACCCCTGTGCTTTGACACCTCGTGTGATGTCTGAGCTAATCCATCCCCATCAGGTGTTTCATATCCCATCTGCCAAGGGCCCAGCATGGTTATCTGAGCTCCACTCCTGGATCTGACATCTACAAAACCAGACACCTTCCTCCAGTTGTTTATACATTAGCCATGGTCTTGGCTGGGAGAACAAAGAGGACATCCTTCCCTCCAACCCCAATTCCTCAAACACATCCAAACAACAGCTCTGACCACAATCGACCACCCGGGAGAAGGAGAGAAATGAAGCCACAGCGACTGCCAGGCACTGTTGTCCCTTCATTTTCTCTCATCTTCCCTTCAGAACAGCTTGTGTGGATTGTATTTTAAACCTGCCTCTTGGAGAAAGCCTCCTGATATTTCCTTTGCAGACATCAGCTGCTGGATTATTTAGGGGCAACTAAAAGTCTTGCAGCAAAGGTTGGCAAAAAAATGACCCTTCTCATCATGAGTTTGGCCTTGTGGTCTGTTAGAAGAGCTGGGTGACGTCTGACATCTCTCAGGTACTTTGAGAGGTTTGTATGACCCAGAATGTGTCTATTGTTACAAATATTTTTTTGTCTAATAGGGAACAGCTCTCATCCTAATGAGCTGTGCCCTCAGGTCTCCCTGCCTCCCTGACTACAAAAATCGTGGACAAGATGATGTGGATGGTCTGCAAAATGTTCTGCTTGTCATGCAGGACAACAAATCTAGAGATCCTGTTCTCCCCATCTGGTCACTGGCACCTTCCCACCCTCCTTGGGCAAGAGCTGTCTCCTGCTCTCCTGCTGCCCCAGGCACAACCTCAATATGAATGAGAAGAAAAGGTGTTGTGGCCCCTCACACATCTTAAATATCTGAATAAAAAATATAGATTATGAATTGAGAGGCAAATTGTAGCATCTCTGCAGTACCAGCTGGGGGAAAAGGAGATTCAGGTAATAAAAGAATTTTCTTATATGAACATTAACTTTGAAAGTTAGATTTTAACCAAAGAACAAAAAAAGGCTATTTCTAGAAAACACTCCTGAAAAACCTGATCACTGCCTGGTGATACACTTAATAATATGTGGTGGAGGTAAGATGGACTGCCAAAAGCACAAAGGCAAGGAATAATTTTCATTTCCACTGCAGCCCTTTCATCTGAAGATCTGAAAGCACGTCACAGTCTGGTTGTCAAAAGCTGAAAAAATGTTATTAAAAAGAGTTATTTCTTTGTTTAGACATTCCCCCATTCCTCTTGCCCCCCTCCCAGATCAGAACTTTTTCAGGACCTTTGCATTTAATTAGAAATTTGTTTCTTAATAGGAAATTTTCAATCAATCTTGAAAAACCCCCCAGGAATCCTGACTCCTGGGGAATACTAAGCAAAGGTAATGCATGAATATTTCCCTTCCCCAAAGCCGTATTTGCTGGAAAGCAGCAGGTGTGAGGAACTAAATTAATGTCTGCACACTTTAAAGTCCCGGTGTGGCACTCCAGTCTCTCTTGAACATTCAGGAGTGGCAGAGTTGTGAGATAATTTGTGGGTATGTGGAATGATAAATATGCAGATGAGAGCCCTGTGCAATTTTAATCAAAACAGATTGCAGCAAGGAAGGAATGGAGGTGTTAAAAACTATCTCAGCTGTCCTTCCTAGCGAAGGCAGAAGGCTGATTAGATTTGCTCAGACACCCTCTACATGTCATGACTTGGAAATTAGACATGAAAGTGGCAGGGAAAAAAAGAGAAGGGAAAAATAGGAAAACAATTCCTGTCCAAGGAGATACTTCCAATATTACAGCAGGAGGGGATCAAATATTGTCAGCACCATATTGGACTCAAGCACATCTTGTTAAAATCTGGGTAAAATAGCAGCGGGCTGGATTCTGACAGGGAGGAAGACTTGGCTGGAGAAGAGCCAAAGCCCTCTCCAGGGAACACAACAAGGAGCATTTTGAGGTTTGTAAATTGCTAACCCCAAAACAGTTTTCTGTGATCCGTTAACTGCGGGAATTTGGTGTTTCCAGAGTTTCCAGTGAGGTGTGATCCATGTGTTCCCTGCAGCCTGGAGTGCCCAGCACTGACACCACGTTATCACTGCCCCAGGAGCAGAAGAGCCACAACAGGGATCTGATCTGAGCTGGACCATTCCCCCTCCATGACTCCAGACATGGGGAGTTCCTTCTGCAAGGAACACAAGTTGTTCCTCATCAATTGAGACCATCTGCCAGAGGGCATTTTCACAAGGCAAGGCCTCAAAGGATGTGACCTCTCAAAGCCAGGGTGCTGGGGTGGTTCTGGCGCGGGACTCCCCAGGCTCTGGGAATCTTCTCCAGCAGAAGAACATTCAGTCTGGGGTAAATTGAAATGTTCTCAAAGCAAGGGACGGGGGAAGTTCTGATGTGTTGGGCCAAAACATGAACAGCTCTGACTTCATCATCTTTCACTGCTCTTTCCACACATTCATAACGGCAGAAAATAATTTTTTTTCCATCCCCAATTCCAACAGGGTGAAGGGATCAGCAGGGATACTCAGTGTAGGTCAAACTGCATTAAATCACAGTGGAGAGCAGAAATTCATAGCAGTCCTAAACCATTAGCCCTGAATCTTTTCAGCAGAAATGATCAAAGACACCTTTTTTTATGCAATTTTTTTTCCTCTCTTATTTACACTGTATCCCTTCTAAGGGGGGGAATTTTAAGGCTGTCAAATTTAGAGTAATTCAGAGTATCCACTGTGCTCCCCAAGGCTCCTGGAGAACACGTGTGCAAAGAAGTGTGGCAATTATTCCAACCCCAATT